ATAAATTTAATTATCTAAATACAGCAAATCAGGTGATTAAAATGGGCTCATTCATCGAAAGTATTCCGAGATCATTTTTCTATAATTCAATATATATATATATATATATATGCCCCCCCCCCCTTCGATCTATTATAACATTATAACGCAGATATACTTTTACAAATAATTAAGTCGATTTTCAATGAATCGAAGAAGTTTACTGCATTAAAATCAACGTTGGTAAGATTTTAATAAAATAAGACAAAGTGTTTATAGATCATTGTCGATATTCACGATTGCTCGCTCTACCCATTAAAGAGATCTTTCATTTATAATGAAAGCGAGTTCCGGGTGAACTAATAAACTTTTACTACTTTAATATTCCAATTAATATTCAACATTTATAAATGCATTAGACTTTTATAAGTATTGGCAAAGGCGAATAGAATTAACGATTAGTTTCCAGTAATGTGTACGTATTTATTGACGATACAATGTGAACAAGCGGTCGATTACGCAAATAGCGGTCGATCGATATATCGATCGAATCTCAATATTTAGCCTCGGCCCAAGTCGCAACACATTGGCCGCAATCATGAATGCACGACTGACTGACTGACTGACTGACTGACTGACTGTACGTAACGCTGCTCCAGTGAGTCTAGAAAGTTTTCGAGTTTGTGGGCGCCTCTGCTGCTTTCGTGCCGGCATGCATCGTAAAGCCAAACACTTGTCCCTAACAAGCAAACAACCAGCTCATCCGAGATTTGCCAAATTATTACAAATTGCATGGATAACAAATGCTCGGGCAAGCTTATTAATTAGTTTTTTATGCAAATGGCTAATCCGCGCTCTATAAACATTAAAGATATTGTTATAAATTATGCGCTTTTGGTCTCGTTTGAATGCTATATGTATTTAATATTTAGGCGAAGTTATATGTTTTATGTTATATATTCATGAAATTACTTTAATTGATTTGCGTTAAAGTCGATCATTAAATTGTACTGGTGAAATTTTTAATAATGATTTAGCGAGACTGTTCGAGCATAAAAGATTTCAATATTACCGCCAGTCAAAAATAAAATTGGAATACTATATAGACCATAAATCCTATGTATTATGATTTCTTTGGCTTGGTTTACTAAAAATATTACATCAATATTTAGGCTCGTCTCGTTTAACCAATGTATCATTAAATAACAATGTAGATACCATTTATAAATTGCTCGATAATAAGCAAATGCGATTGCTAAGTCTTTCGCTTCACGAGCAGAAGCACCGCGAGCGTAGAAAGTTTTTGCTCCACGTATATACTCCGTGTGTGCAAATGTATATAGGGAATAAACGTAAACACCTGTCGTTCTAATATAAGATGCGAGTAACGTAATTAGACGCGATTAGCTCGTACTTTCTTCCGGACGAAATTGTGAATTATACACGTTCAAGATCTTCAGCTGACTGAACGAGTAAATTCACGGGGGTGACAGCTGTTTTGCCAATCCAGCGTTCATTACGATTGTCGTATTTTGTTTAATAATTAAGAGCTTTAAGAACACGAAAAAAAAAACAAAAAGAGGCGAAATGTTAAACTAATTAACGTTAAAAAGAAATGTGTACAGCGGTTAGACTATTTTATCTTGAGAGTGGATACGTCATCGTGAACACGTCCTCCCACTGGCATGAAAGCCGAAGCATAATGCAAGGATGTGTGCAAGCTGGAAAATTATTACACAGGGCAGTATACCGAAGACGAAAGCACTTACATAGCCACATAAGACCTTCGCTAGACAGTACCTATATAATTATCATAAATTTTTATAGATAAAATATATTTTTATCGGCCTTTACTCTGTAATTTCAATAGTAATAATTGAGATGCGTTACTTTAATATTAACGAATCATAATAGCGAGCTACTAATCCGACGTATAGTGAAAGATCGATGAATACGAAAAGATTATATGAAAAAGAAATGTCAAATTTTATAAATATTTACGTGCCATTTACATGCAATTTTTCCTACATAAACTCACCGAACGCGATAAACGCGACTTGCACTACACGTGTCTGATAAAATTGGCATATTACGCTTCTGTATTTAATTAATTTTTCTTCTTCTTCTTCTTCTTCTTCTTCTTCTTCTATTCACTATACTTTAAAAGACTAAGCTTTAAAACATTGTGTATTTGGAACTGGCTTCTTTCATAACTTTAAAACAGTCGCTAGATTAATCTATAAATTAATCTACTATGAATATAATGTTTTTCCTTAAAAAAAAACAAGAGAGAGAGAGAGAGAGAGAGAGAGAGAGAAAGCAATATCGTCAATACGTAACGCAGATAATATAATGTTGTTTAAAATGTGCCTTCTAAAGGTACTATACTTGATTGATTTTAATCTACTAGTTATTTTATAGTAATAATTGGTGAACTTCATTCGGAATTCATTAAATCTCGCTTATTTCAATATCACTTGAAATGCATCGCCAAACATATCCATATATAAAGATAATTCATTGAAGCAATTATTATTATATTAAATGCATTTATAAAACTAAGCATATACGTTCGGTCATGGCATGAGCACCTGTTGTATGTCGATGGATATAACTACTTCAAGTGAAATAAATTAAATGCTTATGAAAAATGATCTGAATAAGGAAGAGAATCGACTTTTGTGTCAGATTTGCAAATCCAAGTAATACGTTAACCAGGAGCCGAGGTAATAATCGTGGCCGACCACGATTCTATAGCATCGGTTGTTATCACGATCATTTCTAATCAGCCTCTAGCCTACATCGTTCGATCTACAAAACTCCATTGCGTCAATTTTGGGTTAGATCGATGATTTTTATATTAACTTTTAACGTTTGCGCAAGGAAATAGATTTTTGTTGGAGCTCCAGTGAGGAGCAAAGCGCGCAATGACGACGTTATGTAAAATGCGCTGCACAGTGCACTTTAAAAGCTGATTAAATTTCAATAATTTTCAAACGTCGTGGCAGTCGAATTTCCAAGGCTTCGACACTGACAGGCAACTCTTGCAATATTTTTGTTTATTATTGCCGTCGATTAACGATGATATTTGAAGAAGCTGAATGAAACTGAATTTTTTTCAAACTGCCGCACAATGCACATTCGTCTATACGTGTTTTTATCATTAAATAAGAGAATCAAACAATCAAAATGCAATGGCAATGAATTTCTAATTGCGATATAATTGACCGTTAAGTATAATCGAGCCATTTTTATTGCAATCGAATGAATTATTATGATTTGATTATTGCTCCGAATGCTTTGGTCCGAATCCTTGGCGAGACATTAAGATATTAATTCTTGCATTATTTAGCGCCAATGACCTAATAACGTAATAATATAATTAAATATCTATCGAAGAATTACGGATGATATTACAAATGTTTCATTAATGCCCTCACATATTATAACGATTACTTTCCACGGTATGCATATCTCATAATCGTTGAGTCTAAGAATATTATCTTTAGCATATATATTTCGTGTATAGTTGATAATATAGATTGATTTGAGATACGAAAAGATTTATTAACATAATGTTTACTTCCTGTAATTGAAGATCTCTAATAATATCAATAAATGCGCATTGTGTATTATTGTTTGTGGTTTAAAATATCGCAGACCAGCATCACTTGATTTCTGCTTACATAATGTATAATTATAATTAATAATTTTTAGACAACGGCTACCAATTGACTTTGAACGAATGACAAAAGCATTGTACATTTTGTCAATATTCCCTGAAGCACAATACCGAAGCACGATATAAGTATGAAGTCTTCCGTTTATCGTTGCCCATTTTAACATTCAATTTTAACGAAACTAATAGATTAGTTCCACTTGGATTGGCAATCGAAATATCGAATAACGACTCTCGACAATAAATATTATTTATTTACATTTTCTTGTCTTAATCCATTTTATGAATTCGTTATTAATAGCTTTGGTAAAAATTTTTCATTTTCCAACAAGAATAATTAATATAATCACTGGTAAGATAAACGTTTGCAGTTTTTCTTCTTCTTCTTCTTCTTCTTCTTCTTCTTTTTCGTCTGTTTTTGTTTTGTGTCATGTTTATATATTAGTGGCATAAATTAGAAATTTTTAAAACAGAACGATAATTAGCTTTTGTTGTCAAGTTTAGAAATAGAACATGAAAGTTTAAATGGAGACACGGCAGTACTATTTCTCGTCTCGTGTCAAATCAATGGCCATGCACAAGTTTACGAAATTATTAAAATTGTATCGCTATTTTACAAGGACAGTCTCTAAATATTCACGCAGTAAAGGATATGACGTGATTTGTTATTGACAGGATATAGATAAATTTTATTGCTATGTTTGGCAATAAATTGTTTTCAATGCGCGTAGTTTAATGAATATACGACATGCGCAGTATGCCTTGGAATAAAAAAATTTCAAAGTAATTACATCATTTTGAGGGGAAGTGTTGGAGGATGGATCGGGACCCGAGCCAACGATGATCAATGGAATGCGTACGATCCGTTGTTTAGGCTACTTTCTATCGCACCGGCACTACATCTTTACCAATTTTATGCGTCAATCGTTCCTTCCTTCATCGCATATACTATCCGCGTCGATAAAAGCGCGGCAAACCCAACAACGTACAAAGTATTACGTGTTTAAGGCAATTGAGTTATGACGAGGGATGCGCGTGCATCTGTGGTCGAGGCTAAGCCCCAAAAAATATAGAATAATAAGCAAAATAAAAGAGGCCGCGAGTCGAGCGAAAGTCCTAGTGGCAAGTGCCAAGTGCACGACTCTCCAGGTGCTCGACGCATCGTAGAAAAATAAAACCCAAGGGTCCGCCCACGACGACGAATCGGCCGATTGACATTCCGAATCGCCGAAGCGTTTCCTTGTAGTCCCGACGTAGCGAGCGAACCCGCGACGTCCGAGGGGGATTTTTGCAGGTGTCGACGGGGCGACGGGGCGCAAAATAATAAGCGATTAGGACTGACCGTGAGCTGGGACTTGTCAGGGGCGATGGCCGTTATCTCGACGGACCTCGGCTCCGGGGGACTGGCCCGGTTAAGCAGAGCCGCCGGCACCTTGGCCACCAGTGACAGCCTCCTCGTCAGTCTCCTGCCGAGATCGGCGCGCCGCCTCATCCTCACCCGCGGTCCCGTGCCCTTGTACGCCCCGAATTCCATCTTCAGCGACATGACCGTCCCTCCTCCCCCTTCGCCTTCTTGGTTCCCACGGGTCCCGGACCCTCGCGCGACCTGTCTGCCCAACCGTCCGATGCCTTCGGGCTTCCTCCCTCGCGCGCGCGCGCGCCCTCGCCCGCACGCACATAAACGCGCACGCGCGCACACGCACACGCACACGCACACGCACCCGGGCTCACATCGTCCGAGGAGGTCGCGGGTGGCGAACGGCTGCGGCGAACGAAGCGCAAAAGTATGCGTAAAAACAATACGGCGGCGGCGGCGGCGGCGACAGCGGCAGTGGCGGCAGTGGCGGCGGTGGCGGCGGCAACGGCAGCGGTAGCGGCGGCGATGGTAGCGGCGGCAATGGTAGCGGCGTCAGCGACCGGCCGAGGACAGCGCCAAGCGACGACTGGCGTCTGGGTCGCGAGGCCGGCCAGAGAGCCGCGTGCGAGCCTAGGCGCGCTCGCGGGGACGAGCCCGGACGCCTCCCACGTGCCACACACGTGCGCACGCCCCGGACGGAGGAGCTGGAAGGAAGCGCACAGAGGCTCACGATCGATTTCGTCGTCCACAGGGTGAAGTGCTATCGCTATGCGCTCTTGGTAGCCTCTTGATAGTTGACGATCATGCACTTTGAAAGAGCGATCGTACGAGATTGCTTCAATGGTTTTTGTGGATTTTATGTGGAGCTGAAGCAGTCGTTGTCCATCGATGATTCGGTAATGTGAAGTAGGTTTCAGCGTACATAATTGTCCACAGAGTCGCAATTCCTTACATTTGAATACAATGCATGAGAGCGTCAATACTCGGATGTCTTTTCCAAAAATACGCACAATTATTTTGGACTTCGTCATTTATTCTTTACCGTATCGATCTTTTCATTGATTCGTTCATTGTTATTTATGGCATTCAAATTTTATATAAATTTTGCAATGCTCGACAATTCTTGCGTAGGCTTATTGCTTGCATATTAAATATTTAAATTTCACATACACGATATTTAATACTTTTATTATTTCATATATATATATATATATATATATATTTATCAACGAACTAATATTTATATGTAACGACAAGATTTATGCCATTACTGTGTCGCATATCGTTTCATTCTAATTAGTCAGTATTTGTTACAAATGCTTTGCCTAATGTTTCAGTAGCATTAATTTTATCCTATCGACTGTGTATTACATAAAACTTCCAATACTTTTTTATCTCTCTCTCTCTCTCTCTCTCTCTCTCTCTCTCTCTCTCTCTCGTTCATGTATATATATATATATATATATATATATATACACATATATGCGTGTGTGTGCGTGTGTGTGCGCGCGCCCGTGTGTATATGTAGTGCATTGATACATACAAGATTTATATATATATATATATATATATATATATATATATAAATGTATAGGATCGTTTCAACCACTGAGCTTGGTCGATATGATCCTCGTAATATATACGAAACAATGTAATCGAACTTTTTGACTCTTCCTTACTCGATAATACAAAGAATTGTTGAATGCATTGAACCTCGAAAATGTCCTTATAAGCTAAAACTTGCAAAGAGGATAAAGATGCGTTGCAAGTCTATTGTGTGACTCACGCGGTTCACACATAAATCGTCTCTAAAGGTACATACCAAGGAGAAATAGCAAGTGAAGTTTATTACATAGCAAATTTGCCTGTGCTCGACACAAGGTCGACTGCGATGCAGTTGAAATTTAATGAATTGCTTAACCGTGGATCAAACCACATTTTTCCATTTAGTTTTCGCTCCACGTATCCAGTCGGTATGCGGCATTGTTTCATCTATAAGCTTAGCTTTTGCAATGAGCCAATGCTTGAAACTTTAAACTCTCTAATGCGTGAAATCGTAATTTTTTTTGCTTTCTCTTTCTTTTTCTTTTTAATCAAAATATCGCGCGACTTTTGTTTTAGAGTGTTTTGGGTGTTGGTAAACCGAGCGTGTTTCCGTTGACAGGGGTGTATTGGAAAACAAGGATCGGTCATGTGGAAGAAAGTGACAAAACTGATTGAAATAAGACTGGATGGGTCCCGTTGAAAATTTGACAGGCTACACGAAGCCGAGATTATAGTGTAGAAAAAAGATAGGAAACGATCTCAAATGAAGATAAGGATGCAGAATTTTAAAAATTTCAAAAACTATTAAAATTAATAACTCAACGTATATATGCAGAATATATACATAAGATCATCGTTAATTTTAATTAGAATGAAATTTAACATAACTAAGGAGAAAAATATTATTGTTATAAAATACTTGAACAACCTTCTTACATTGATGTTTCTTTAATACTTTGAATTATTATTCAAAGTAACTTAAAGTGATTAACTTTAGTATTTATTTATTTTTTGTAATTGTTTTTATTCATTGATTATCATATGAGCAAATGACAGTATTATCTTTTTCTACGATTATGCGCGTTATGAGAATAGTTATTTTCAGAAAATTCACAATGTTAGAAAGTATTTTTCTTAATATTAAAGTTTTCCGTTTAATGCGTGAGATAATATAACAATTCTTTGATAATGCGCTTTCAAAAGCAATACGTTACATAAGTACGGAGTGAGCGATAAGAAAAAATTTTAAGCACCTTAACAATTTGTATATTTACTTTGAAAGAAAGGACATGGATAACACCATTGTTACATAAGCAATTCACCATTTTCCATGCGCGTGTTGAAATTCTTTGCATAAACTAATATTGACGTTCATTTTCATGCAATAAATTATTTGTCGTACATACATTAATTAAGCACATGTTTATATGAAAATCTGTTTAATTACGTGAATCAATGTCTTGTAAATGACTAGAACGTAAATGTCGGATGGCTGTAAGCTACGGGTTTCCTTATACACGAGTCTCGAGTAACTCAATTTCTCAAACAAAGTTTAAACGCATGCATTTTTTTTTCTTTTTTCCACTTATTAGAAAAGGCGAAATTTTTTAAATAACTCGCAAGTATTGTCTATCAAGTGACTATATCAATCAAGTGACTTCGAGAAACACACAAGTTTCAAATAACGTAAAGTTCTATTGGGGTTTTAATTGTTCAGTATCATAAAAGATATTAGCCACAAGAAAGTTTCAAGTTGCTTTCAAATCGTTGTTTTCAAACTATAAATTTACGGACGAATAAAAGATAGAGTAACGAATAAATTTTTATCACGCGAAAAACGTTCGAACGCTCGAGAACTTTCCGATGTCTTGCACTTTATTGATCCTGATAATGTGCACTGGGCGTAAAAATTCGCATCCGCTTAAAAATTTAATGACCCCCTAGGAAGCTTCAAATAAGGCAATAAGACAACAAGTTCGTTACATATTGCGAGCGCGTAAATTTATTGACAATTGAAAAGCATTTAAAAGCTGCGCGAAGCTGTTTGCTCACCCGAGCTGCTTGCAACGACTTTCAGAGTAAACTAAATCGAACAAAAGTAATGGTCGCAAAGGTGCCGTAACATCTGAAATACTTGTCGGGTGTCACTTTAATGCTCCACGCCTGAAAGAGGTTGAATCGCGTCGGCAAAGTACACGGCATCAGTCGGAATTCCGACTGATTCATATTTTTCGCTTTAATTCAGGCGGTTTGCCCGTATAGGACTGAGGATCTTCACTTAAAGCGTCAAGCTGCGATCGCGCGGTATTGTGTAGACCATTGGCACTGCGTCCACTCTCTAAATATTAATAAATATCCACCGATCCGCGATGAGTATAATAAATACAATTTCAATAAGTCATACATATGCCAGTGCGAATAAATGAAACGTCACTGACACTAATCAGTGAAAGCGTTAAGCCACCGATTTCAATCAGTCGTTCGGGAAAGAAAGGAAACTAAAAAATTTACTGGCGTGGTCACGCCAAAGGCGAGTACATTAGCATCGAGTCAGCACGCATTTACGTACTGCCTTCGCGCACACGCCACACTAGCCGCAAATTATGACTTTTCATTATAAAATTTCATTTTCGATGCTTATGTTCTCACTAAAAATAGCATGCAATGCAGCAATTACACTCGGAGCAGCATCAATTTCCTCGCAAGCGAGTTCTCTTAAATAAGATATTAAAAGAGAACTCCATCGAAAGCATAATGAATATTCCTACATCCAAATGAACATATGTATCTTTCATGTATATATATATATAATAATAATAATAATAACAATTGCAATTTTCCTAACCGACAATTGAATTTCTTCCCATAATGAAGAGCGCAATTTATGAAAAGACCACTTCTTTGATTTACCTTTGATAAACTTTACTTTATTCCAATTGCAATCGACATTTTGATTACAAAATTACACTGCCGGATTTTTAAGCCACTTTTCATTTATATGCGTTAAAAATTTATTCGAGTACCTACCACGTATATACCTACTTACATCCCCTCAAATAATTTAGACATGTTGTTTATTGTTTCGCGTCCTCTTGTGCAAGCTTTTATGCACAAGATTTTTTAGTCCCAAAATTCGTAGACTATTAAAGGATTTGAATAACAAGAGGTCATATTGTGATTGTAAACTCCATGTAAAGTTGCTTTATAAGTCGAATAAGGAATTAAAAGCAAAACAAATTTTAGTAAATAGTTATTATAATAGTACCTTCCTACAAATAATAATAACTTACAAACATGGTAAATATTAAATTTTTATCTCTTAATTCAACAAATTTATGTTTGTTACTACCAAATTAACAATATTCGTTAAAATTATTTATTATCTTCAAGCTTCTTTTAGTTAATTAATTCCCTAGCTAATTATAACTATATAGCATTCACTATCTCAACTAAAAGAGATGAAAGGTTATTATTTTGAAATTCTGAAATTGTACATTTTCACTTTTTTAAACTATGTAATGATATATACAGCGAGTTGTTGACAGAAAACTGAGGTAGCTTATCGACTTTTACTATAGCCGATATATGCATATGTAATATTGTTTTTCAACTGTGAATTTACAATCACGGATAAGATAGGATACCGTAAAAATAACACAAAAAACTGTGTCTTTATATTATGGCATAATTTTTATGATAAATCGTTTTACTCTAAATTTTATATATGATTTACTCTCTTATTAATCACTTTTTTCCAAAACCCTTTTAAATCTGACAACGTTTTTATGACTATGAGAGCTTGTCGATATGATAACAAACTCCAAAGAATAGACAAAAAATTGAATAAAGATGAGTGAAAATATTCTTTAGAATTTTTTAAAAAATGAACATGTCCTTTTTAAGTTATGGTTATGTTGATATATTAAAATTGAATTATATATATTACTCACTGAACGACGATGAAAAATATTTAAATTAAATAGATTTATATTTAATATTTTTATTTAATATAATTAACGTGAAATTCTTGAGGCATTTACATTTTTCTATTAAAGAAGTCGATTAACGATTTTAATATATTGATTATAAAGATTATTATTATGGAATTTATTTTATGATGTTTCATGAAAATACTTTGATAACTATCGATAAATTACAATAAGTTTATAAGTAACAAGTAGAACATTTTTTATTTTGTTTTATAATTTCTTCTGCGTAAACAATAATACTTAATTGTAAAATCATAGTGAATGTTGTTTAAATTTTGAATTACAACATTTTTATACAAAAATATTTTTTTCTAAAATTAAAATTTTAGTATGAGAAAATAGTATATCAATGTTAATTTCATTCACTTCATATAATTCAAATTGCGACATTATACAAAAAACAGTTATTTCACATAATTTCATTTAATATAATATAGCGTTTAAAAAGTAATAAAATTATGGTTGGATTTCTTCATCATCTATTTATAATAATCTAGTGATGAATGATTTTCCTAAAAAGTTTTCACCAATTTCAATTGTCCGTGTTTAAATTTAAACAAAACGAATTATCTTATTCGGCTTATATGTATAATTTATTCGATTATAGCTTTCCAAAAGAAAGATTAAAGGAAAAGAAAAAAACGAAAACTTTACAAACAATTACTGTAAATACATTAATCTTCTGTATATAAACACAATGATTAAATAGTATTATTAATTTCTTTTCTTTTTACGCATCATTATGTCAGTACTTAAAAAAGACAAATTTCAAAAGTTTATTTAAAAGTTAATTCATTTTATTTTTCATATACTTATCTATATTTATACAAGAAAAGGTTTATATGATTAATTATGTAAATGCAGAATATAAGGTATTCCGCGATGTATTTACAACTTGTAAATTGTAACAAAATATTTATTACTAACAAACTGATAGTAATTACTCGCCTTTTAAGACTCAAACATTTTCCCAGACGAAGCTCTAGAATTATTATTAAATTTAACTAATAGTCAATCTAATAACCTATTTTTTAAGTAGTTAACCAATTTGTAATTTATAAAACTAATCCATTACAAAAAGTAGTAGATAAAAATCGTATAATCACATAACCGTATATCGCACTTACATTTTATACAAAAGTATAATGTTAAACATCTAATTTTAAAATATTAATGAAGTACTAGAGAAAATATTGCGATTAATTACTTTTTGATTCAACAATTTAGTTTGTTCTATATAATTAGGTTGATTTATAATAATATTATAATAAAATTATTATTATCAGTTGAATGTTTTTATAAAATACTATTACATTGTGTTAATTCAGTTATTAATTAGTCATTTATACCAGATATCACTAGATGATCATAAAGTAAAATATATTATTGCTTTGAAAACTTTTATATTAAATTTTTTAAATGATATCAATGTATCTTGTAGTTTGTCGAAAGTAACAGAAAAGTAATTCCATAACAAATATGGAATATGTAATATTATAAGTTTTTATCTTAAAAAATCAAGACAGTCGTAAAATAAGTTTCTTTAATTACATTGACGAAGTACATTTTAAAAATATTTTACTGGTTGAAGAATGAACATGTCTTGTTTGATCATTTCAGAATAAGTAACATAAATATAAATAGATAAAAGTGCTTCCAAGTTTTTGGAGAGTAATGTAGTAAGTACAAAGTAAGTACACGTAAGTCAAATTGATTAAAAAAAAAAATTATATTACATTTGTCGTAAACAGGACTATCAAATTAAATATGTAAACATAAACATAAACACTTGTTGATGTGCTACATAGTACAATTGTGTAAGAATCATTCAGTTTGTTAATAAGTTATTAATTATATAACACTACTTTGCAATAATATTCTGTGAACCTTAAAATACAATAGAACACGAGGAAAATGCTGCTTACCAAATGTTTGTGAAATAATTTATAAATTAATTATAACAACCAAGATATCAAAAATATTTTATTTTCAAAAATCATTAAAATACTTTTGGAACTATGTAGAGAAAAATATGTAAAAAAAATTCTGACAGCACAACGGTGTTATTCAAATTTGTATTGGATTAAAAGTGTAGTAAAATAAAAACAGCTTAAAACTTACTTTATGCAAATTATAAATGCCATATGAAAATGAATTTTTATCTAAAGATTGTTTTTTTATAAATTTAATATAATAGTTGGATTCATTAAAAAATATTGTAAGTGTTAACATCAAAATAATAACATTTTATTGTTATATTTTGTTCAATCATTAAATATATATATATAAAAAAAAGTAGATCTATCATTTAAAATTACAACACAAAATTTGAGAAAATCTAGATCTCTATATATAATATTTACTAAAAAATTAATAAAGAAAGTAACAAAATATTTTCAAATTCAATCTTCTGCGCTCAATGATAAAATTTCAGAGTCCTGATAATAATGCTTTATGTCAGTTTTTTTCAGCGGTAAATGTTACTTCACTTACAAACTTCATGATCATCGACTATAAATTATAAAACATTAAAAATTTTATTTATATGAAAATATTTTCATCATGTAATCAATAGCAACAAAATTATAAAATACATATGGTAATAAGAAAATCTAATTAACCGTATCAATGTATATTGCATTTGTATTTAAAATATTTATTTTTTCCTATCTGTTATATATTTTATCGTCTTGATTTGAAAAATGTGTTACTCCCGTTCTTTTGTATTTCTTTTAAATTTCATAACAATTCTCAATATAAATTGACTTAAATATAAATTTTTTTTAAAGAATTTAGTGCGCTCAATGAATTATCTAATTACCAAATACAACATTCTTTATTAATTTTAAAACATAAAATCTTGAGATATCGTAATTTCTACTGTAGATGAAGAAAACTCATATATATATATATTTTTTTTTAATGCTCGTGTGAACCTGAAAATTTAAATGAACACATTTGACTGAAAATATTAATGTAAAACATAATATATAACTGTATTATAAAATTACTCTGAGCTAATTGAAAGTAGAGCGAAATCGAAGGTTTTCAGTGATAGTTTTTAAAAGATGTTTCTTCGTCTTTCAAACGTTAAACTTTTATCATTAAAAAAAAAAACAATATGTATTTGAATGCCTCGTTGAATGTGGACATTTGACGTTATACATCGTAAAAATGTAGCACGGCAAGACGAAATTTCACAAGAGTCGACTAGAAGAACGGATATAATATAGTAAATACTAAAAGAAAATTTAATAGTGAAGATAGAGTTTCGTTTACAACAGCTCACGAAGAATAAAACGAGAAGTCCATTAAATAAGCAAATACCGCCACCGAATGATTTGAAAAAAAAAATAAATAAATGCCATTCGTCTCTCCTCGTCTGTATAATAATAGCATCCTTGACATCTCTTATGAACGCAATTGTCCGTTCTGAGGAAGAAAAAAGCTATTAGGTGAGGGACGTGTATGGAATTTTTGTCGTTTCTTACGTAGCTTTTCTTGAAAAGTGAAAACATCATATTATCAATATGAATTCTTAATCTCATCGGTTTTTTGCCTTTTAACTTATCGTTTACAAAACATCCTTACGAGCTGAAAAAATTACCAAATTTTTTTTTTCAAAAAATTCTACTTTATGATAAAATGCTGTTAAAGTGCATTTTACAGTATTTCCTATAGTAGAAAACTTTTACTTATTTTTAATGCCCATGACTTATTACTTGAATTAAATTAAAATATGAATGAATTTTAACAAAACAAATTTTATAGATCGCTCGTTAACTTTCTTGTTGCGTTTAATTATTTCAATAAAAATATTATTGTAATTATACTATAGAGAAATGTTGTTTCTTTATACTGTAATTTAGTGAATTTCCTTCAATCGAATCGTTTGTTTTTCTCTCCTAAAATATAATCCTAAAATATAAAGAATATTTCATTCTTCATACTTTCTTTGTCGTCTTCTTATTTACTATAAGCATAAAGAGTAGATAGTATTCTCTAGAGGACATTGCAATTACAAAAATATTAAACGTTCGTTTTCTATTTAAATTAAATGTAATTTATATTTTTACATCTAATCATCGAAACTTATATAACATGAAGATATTCGATCTTTACTGAGATCACTGGTTTGTGGTATAATAAAGTAAACATAACCTTTAAATTAATACTTGTTATCATTTAGGTCATTGAAAGATTTTTATAAATATTATAAAATTTATGTATATTTTTATAGAAGTAAAAGATGTATTATGTTACCTAAACTTGTGTAAATTTCAAGTATAAATATTTTAAATCACACGATTGAATTGATAAAAGCAATAATTCTTTATGAAAAGCAATTATGGATATAATTTTCACAAAATCAGTCTTTCTACGTCGATTATTCAATTCATCAATTAATGTTTATCAGTGCATTAGGTAATACGTAATTGGAAATTTTATTATAAGTTATTTACATTCGATTTGAATATATTATTAATAATATTTATTGTACAGGTTACAAAAATGGAAAAGAAAATGCATTCATACTATAAAAAATCCTTCAAAAATACAATTACATATGAATTGGGATCGAAACATTTTAAATTATACGCAAATTCAAAAACGAAATATGTTTATTCAAACACACGAAACACCTAATCCAAACAGCTTGAAGTTTGTTCCCGGTGTAGAAATTCTAGGAAAAGGGCAAACCAAAGATTTTCTCAAAATAACCGATGCTGTATGTTCACCATTAGCAAAAATGTTGTTTCGCATTGAAGGTGTTAAATCGGTTTTTTTTGGTCCAGATTTTATTACAATTACCAAAGCAGATGAAGATTTGGAGTGGTATGTTATGAAACCCGAAGTTTTTGCTGTTATAATGGATTTTTTTGCAAGTGATCTTCCTGTTATGAGAGATGTTGAAAGCTCGTCAAGTATTTGAATGTATTTTTTAGCATTAATGGAATTTATAATTTAATTGCTTTTAATACTTTGTATTTAAATCTATTATAGCAACAAACGAAGATGATGATGAAATTGTACAGATGATTAAAGAACTTTTAGATACTAAAATAAGACCTACAGTTCAAGAAGATGGAGGGGATATAGTGTTTGTGGTAAAGTGAAATTTAAATTTCTAATACTGTAGATTTGCATAATCAATTACCAAAATTTATATTAATATTAAATTTTATAATTAGTACTTATGGGAAAATTGTAGAAATTCACAATAATTTTATTAAATATAATTTCAGAGTTTTACAAATGGTACATTAAAAATAAGAATGCAAGGTTCATGCACAAATTGTCCAAGTTCAAATGTCACTTTAAAAAACGGAATTGAAAATATGATGCAATTTTATATACCAGAAGTACTGTGTGTCGAAGAAGCAGAAACTGAGATGGACGTAGTTTCCAAAACTGAACTCGAAAAACTCGAGAAGAAACTCGATAAATCGCATGACGAATAGAAGTAATTTTATAAAACTTTATTGCGACATTACTTACAAGCTAATTACATGTATATTATATTTCATCGGAATAGAATAAGTTAAAATACATATGTTCAGTCTATTTATTTATTTTTCATTTTTTATACAAATTAACGACTTGAGATGGAGACTTGCCATACTCTAATCGTATTATCCGAGTATCCAGCGAACAATGTTTGTCCGTCCGTAGACCATGCAAGAGACAAACACTGAGGAGGCTCAGCTTTGCTCGTTGCCGATACAACTTCGGGTTTCAGCTCTTCAACCATTTCTTTGCCCTCAAGATCCCAGATCTTAATCCAAGGTCCGTAAGCAGCACACAACCAGTAACGGTTGGGGCTAAAGCACAATGCTGTAATGATGTCGTTGTGATCAAGCGTGTGCAAGTGCTTTCCATCGTTTAAGTCCCATAACATAGCTTTATTATCCTATGGAGAAGCATAAGTAGTTTGAATATCGTGCAAAGTAAGAAAAAAAATAAATAAACTTTTAATCATAAAGTGTAGGTGTCGAATAGTACCTTGCCTCCAGAAGCACAAAGGGAACCATCCGGTGAAACGGTCACTGTGTTGAGGTAACCAGTATGTCCATAATGATTAATCTTTAACCGACAGTTGGTTAAATTCCACACCTATAATTAAATACAACATTATTTACCAAAGGAAATATTATAAAGTAAAAGTAAAATTTCAGTTCTGTCACACTTCAGTCCCATATCCGCAAACACTCATCAATATCATGCTATTAATGAATTATCATCATTTAAATTAAAAAAAAATTTGCTTCAGCCAATGATTAAAATGTAAAAGAAAAAAATTAATTACTTTAACAATTCTGTCCCAACCAGCAGACACGATAATTGGGTTGGAATGGTTAGGAGAAAATCTCACGCAGCTAACCCAGTCGGAATGTCCGTCTTCTTGAATGGTATATTTACATTCTGCCAATGTATTCCATAATTTTATCGTTTTGTCTCTTGAACCAGAGACAATCTGACGATTATCGACGGAAAAGGCAACACTAAGAACATCCTGTAAATATGCATATTCATTAAAAAATTTTCATTTTAATTATTAACACTCTTACGACTAGTTTATAAATTCTGGAGACAATTTTGTAAGAAAAGACTACAGAGTCTTCTACTTACGGCAACGATAAATTAGCCCACCTCTTCTATGTATTATTAAAAAAAAAATATATAAAAAAAATGCTTCAGTTTTATATTTGTCTCGTAACTCCAGTTCCCGTACAAGATGAATACGAGCATTCGCTCGCAGATCAATGTCACACCTGTGTATGGCCTTCAAACCTTCTAGTGCTCCGACCAGCTGCCAAGTCCCAAAGCCTTAATGTTTTGTCCCAGGAGCCAGAAAGTGCATAATTGCCATCCGATGAAAGCACTACATCACTGATAAAGTGCGAATGACCATACAACCGCTTTTGAGGTACTCCGTAGTTTAAATCATCGCGAGTCAATTTCCACACGATCAGTGTTTCATCTAAAATGTAAAAAGCAGCTTTTTAAATCACGAGCACATCCACCATTCGTATTGATAAAGTACTTTTACAAAACGCTATCCCACCAATGTGCAATATGCGCTTGAAAGAAAATCACGTGTACAATCGAAAATCCACATTTTTACAAAAAATGATAACGCCTCCAACCCCCTCTTTCTCTCTCACCCTCTTAACTAACAATTACAACCGTAACCATCCTCAATTTTGACAACAATCTCGGTAAACTCACAGCGAAGGCGTGCCACACAAGCATGCTCAACGCATCATCAAAATTCACTTACGAATTTAAATACAAATAAAATATAATGAAATTGAGCTCGCGCGCAACTTGTATTTATCATCTCGCGGCAATAAAATATGAACGAGCGCCAATAATATAAAAAGTAGAAAAATCCGTTGAACACACATCATATGGGGCAAAAGAAACTTACCACGTGAAGAGGACAAGATCATGTCCGGATATTTAGGATTCGTCGCTATTTGCGTGACCCATCCATTGTGCCCGCGCAACGTCCCTCTTAGCTGCAGTGTCTCAGTCATTTTCAATTAAATTTTGAAGTCTCGTGTCCAAGATGTTCCTGGATTTCTTTCCGCTCTCCGGCGCGTACAACCAGCGCGTACAAATGGCCGTGAGGTAAAGACCGGAAAGAGGAAAGTCGCGGGAGTCGCGTTCGCGCCTGACGGCCGCTGATCGAATCTGCATCGGGAATTCGGAATCGGACGGGAAAAGGATGGGAGCCCGTCGTGTCTTTCGAAACGCGCGCATTTCGAAATAGCCCACGGAGAAGAAATAAAGTGGCCGTAAGAGCATGTACCGCAGGCTTACCGTAGACTTTGCTCCCACGCGAATAATATAATTAGCTATTGGGGCAGGAGGGGGGGAGGGATATTTTTCTCCCCTTGAGGCTGGAAATTGGGTGTCTTTATGTATCCGGCACCGCCATTAAATTCCATGTTTAAATTAAGGTCCAAGTGCCAATAGGCGTGATAGCTTCGTTTATCCGCGCAAAAAAATAATTGTGATACTTTCCATTCAGAAATGTCGTTTTAGCTTGTGAATTAGAAGCTCTCCATTAATAAGCGATAATAATGTTGATCAAAAAGGAAAGAGAACAATATATTAGGATTTGATCGACAAATTGCTTTAATGTAGTTTATATTACGTATTCGATTATTGAGATAATTTATTATTTTATCGTAATTTTCCATTGATTTCTGATTATTTTGGGAATCTATCTGATTTTCAAGAGATTTTCTAACATTACTTTGGACATAGGGCTTTACTCGACAGTCTTCACATTTAATAATATATAATTAGCAACAATTTGCTACATTATATTAGCTTACAGTGCATAAATAATAAGATGCTGAAGTGAGTATTAATATATGCGATCAAAATTATGCGATAGCATTTGTGTAAGAAAATTTAAATTTGACATTTTGATGTAGTAAATGTAATTTTAACGTGCTAATACACCTTGCAAGATTTACTTTACGACGATTTATCCAAGTTTGAAAAAGCTTGTTCATAATCGTTGCAAAATCACAGAAAAAAACTTTTATATTGAAAATCATACCCAAAAGTAAAAGTGAACTTTTTAATGTCTATGTACATAAGTCATTGGCAGTCTCGGGTAAGTTAGAAAATTATAATTTAAGCATACAGTTAATTTATTATTAGAGTATAATTTCGAATTGTTCAAAAAAAAAAAAAAAAAAAAAAAAAAAAAAAAAACAGAAGAATAAAAGGCACAACGAATGAAATTTTAATTTAATAGGTCTTTTTATTTTTATTTTAATTTACTATTATTTACAATTTCTAAAGTATTGAGACAGTTTCTATGCAATAATAATAATAATAATAACAATAACAACAACAACAACAACAACAACAACAACAACAATAATAATAATAATAATAATAATAACAACAACAACAATAAAAGAAATGTATATTATTATTATTCAAGATTGTATCAAGTTGCAGAAAAAAAGAAAAAGAAAAAAGGGATTGAAAAAACATTGAATGCCCAGAACAAAAACCAATAGGAAAAAAGCCTTTTAAAACTTAATTTACATTAAATTTTAAGTACATTTCAAGAGGAATCTGAAGCATTGATAAATAATCAACCGATTTCGAAAAATCATTATGTAATATTTGAAGCTATTAAATCCTTTAACTAAGTTGACTATTATATTTATTATTATAATGAACTATTCAATAAATATTCACTAACTTGTGATAATTAAGAAAATTATAAGGCTTACTTAAGACGAATAATCAATTTTATATATGATATATAATAAATAGTAAATAATTTGAAAATAATGATAATTGTTATAATTAAGGTTTTAAAAATTATATTTTTATTTAAAATAGTTTTTCGGCTCATTGCCGAAAGTTATGAAAATAAATAAAACGGAGTTTTAATTGAGAATAATATGCATCATAAAAGTTGTTATTATCACAAATTAGCTATTATCTTAATTAAATATTAATTGAAACTGAATTTACCTCAAGCTGAAAGCGTTTTAATATTATGTCTAAAAATAGAAGATACGTCTACATAATTCCCAGTGCAACTAAATTGTGAATAAAATTATAAATAAAGAGTTTTTTTAATACGAATAAATTTTTCATATTAAACATTTGAACTGTTTGTAGTATATTTATAATTGATTTACGCTATAAATTTTATTTTACTTCTTTTTTTGCAATTAATTTGTAAAACATTTTTTTCTGCTCAGAACGTTAATTCATGTGAATGCACGCGCTCGCCTTATATAAATGAATGTATAAATATCTATAGATATAAATAAATTTTTCACAAGTATTATTTATACAATGTAATTGGAGTATTGTACAAATTTTGTAGCCGAGAGTTTAATAGTTTCAAAGAAGAAATGAAATTTGCGTTCGCGGATCTTTTTTATTAAAAGCATCATTGTCGCTTTTACACAAAATTTTCATCGAATTTATTCCATTCATTTCTTGGAGTAATAAACGTGCATGTTTAATGAAGCTAATTAACTCCAAACTTTAATGTTATTTTAGTAAAATTCCGGCAAACTCGGTGTACTGTCTGATCAAATTATCGACTATTCAAATGTCTCCTTTAACATTTTTCGCTTTACCATTGACTGTAAAATTAATAACGATTGAATAAATACAAAAATGTTGAGTGGTCAGCACCGACTTCCGTAACATATTGTATAAAGCAGTGCTTCGTGGCAAATAGTCAGCTTACGAAACTCATCAGCGAAGAAGAACTTTACCCCCACTACCTGATGATCATTCGGACATGTGGCATATATATGTATATATATATATATATATATATATATATATTTATTATTCATAAATAATGTGCAATTATTCGTGTAGGTGGATGGTGAACGACCATATTATTTTGGAATGCCAATCGAGCATAGTTGTTGAACAATAATAAGCTGCTAGTAGCATTTTTATCTCTAATGTACTACTCGTATTTTCAGAAGTATGACAGCGCAAAACATTATATTATGGGACCGCGTATAAATAAATTCGAAAATAATATCAACGTAATGTAAAAATTATACGATGACATACAATTTATTCGAATGAGTGCGTACGTATTATAGACAAATGCTTATTAAGCATCACATCATTGTTACGTAACTAATATGGCTCCCTACCTTTGAATTTAAATATTCATATGTGCAATTGTTTTTTCTCTTTACTTCTCTTTATATCTTGTAAGAAGATGATTTGTACTTTTTTTTGTATTTACAGCAGTTGCTTCATTAAAAACGTAAAAATAGAAAGAGAAAAAGTAATGATAGCATTGATAAGCATCTTAAAAGAATTTAATAGTTTCTTAATTTACTTTGTTTAATTTAATTAATTTTCAATAATGCATCAGTATGTTTAGAAGTTAAAAAATCAATCGATAATTTTATATAATACAATGTACAATTGTCTCGGTATATTTTCTTTAAAATGAATGCGATTAGGAAGAAAAATAATGGGAAAATTGCATTGGTATTGTCAAACTATGCTTTTTATTTTTTACTATTACCCCCCCCCCCCCGAGCATTTATTTACACACGCATTTACTCTACTTACCACTACGAGAATACCCTTCAATAATCCTGTGTGCATGTTTGGTGTCTTTATGCGTGTATGTACATTTTGTACACTACCAGTAATGTTAAATATACAATTATTCGAGGGAAAACGAAATTTACGGTGCATTTGCGAATACACGGTTACCCATTCGTATATTAATGAACAGTTAGTCGAAGACTGTGCATTTGTAAATATAAACGATAAAGAAGAATAGTTAAAAGTAAAGAAAGAATAGTATAGAGAGAAAGCGCGAGTGCGATACAGTGGTTTTTTAAAATTAATTGTAGCTTTTTCATTAAGTCGTATTCGGCGTTGTCATATATTCTATATAATTTATTGAATTGTGAAATTGAAATGTCAATGAATGGTGAGGAATGAATTTGAGCCAATCAATTGTATAAGCATACAATACTCTCAATATTAAAGAATTAATGAAGCAAAAGGTTATGAAATTATAGAATAAATTTATTACTTTCAGAAGATAGCAGGAGCGAAGCATCAATAAATATGGAAAATGATAATGAGAATGCTGAATCGGAAGATGCTGAAAAAATAATGATAATAGATCCGGAAAGCGAAGTTTGTAAACAATTCCTGCATCTCAATTGTCTCACATGACAAAAGCATTTAAATAATAAAATTTTTAGGAATTGGACTTCAACCATTCTCGTTTGACAAAATTAGAAAATTTGGAACCGTTAACTAAAATAAAGAAATTGTGCTTTACTTGGAATTTAATCAAAAAGATTGAAAATCTAAATAGTTTGCAAACATTGGTTGAATTAGAATTGCGAGATAATCAAATCACTGTTATAGAAAATTTGGACAACCTTGTAAATTTACAGTAAGTTTACAATAAATTGTAACGCACATGGATTTAAAGATAATATGTATTATTTAATAATAATATTTTCAGAGTGTTAGACTTATCGTTTAATCGTATAAGGAAGATAGAAGGGTTAACAAATTTATTGAAATTACAAAAGTTATTTATTTCATCCAATAAAATTACAAAAATTGAAAATTTGGCTCATTTAAAGAATTTAAATATGCTTGAGTTGGGAGATAATAAAATTCGAGAAATAGAAAACTTGGAAGGACTAGATAATTTAACAAATTTATTTTTGGGAAAAAATAAAATATCAAAAATTCAAAATTTAAGCAGTTTAAAACAGCTGGAATTACTAAGTTTACAAAGTAATCGAATCGTGTGCATTGAAAATTTAACCGAACTCAACAAATTAGAACAGCTATATTTATCGGAAAATGGATTGACGTGTATTGAAGGCATTGACAACTGTCCTAAAATATTAACTCTTGATGTTGCAAATAATAAAATTAAAAAAATCACAAACATAGAACATCTCACTGTATTGGAAGAATTTTGGGTATGTATTTAGAAAATTTTATTTTCGATACTTTTCAATCTTTAATTATAATTATTTTAAAATATATAATATTTGAAATAAACATTATTATTAGTCTAATGTTAGTATGAGAATTAATATTTTCGAACATTCTAATGTTTAGATAAACAATAACGAGATCGAGGATTGGGCTACGGTTGAAAATTTAGCATCAAATAAGAAGTTACAAACAGTATATTTTGAGCACAACGCCATTACAAAGGATCCAAACTATCGAAGAAAAATTAAATTGATTTTACCTTGGCTAACGCAGTTGGATGCTACGTTATGTAGATGAGATGATTTTTCTCTTTTAACTAAAATAATCAAATTTAACAAAGTAGGATTAAGACGACTACGAATTTTATTATTAAACGAATGAAAAAAAATTTTTGTCAAGTTTTAGTATTCTTGTAATCAACCTGCACGACAAAGAAAATTTGATGCTTCACAATAACAATACTATTGCAAATAGATTGTAAAAAGATATTTTATATTCTTTCAAAAGCATAAAGAAAAGAAAAATAGTTTCTTCAATTTAATCATTATGTAATCAATAACACTAGTGTGCATTTAATATCGAATATTTAATTTATGATATTACTATGAATAATTGAAAAGCTATTGCTGTGAACAAATACTCATTTATTATACTTTTTAAACAAATTAATTATAATCTTATACACCAAACAAGTATTTCATGCACTATCGAATGAAATAAAGTGTCTCAATGATAAAACAACTTTTTATATACATACATACCGACTTGTAAAATTCTTTTAATAAACAATATTATACTGATATAATATAACAATTACATAGCAAAAGTTTTTTATAATCTTAAATAATCATTATTCAGAATACATAAGGAAATAAAGCATAAGATGTCGAGGACTTTCGACAGTAACGTAATATCACTGAAAATAATGCATTTGAAAACTTACTACCAAGAGTTAAAGCCGCATATGCGTTTTCAACTCGAGAGCTAGAAAAAGGATAAAAATAATTTTCATTTCCATTTCGATTTTGCTCGGCTGTTAGTCAGTCAAAGCCATTGTAGAACGACCCTGTCGTCTGAAATACTCCATTCCACTAGCCAATGGTTAATTCTGCCCGTCGTACGTAATTGGGACCGCCGAATGGCCGTAGCCACCTGGAGGTAAGTGCTCGCGATACTCTTTGTCCCTTTTCGCCAATGAAGCTCAAACAAAATAATGATGTACTGCTTCTTCCTTTCCGTTTAAAGTTCTTTATTACAACTGTTCTTATACATTAAATAGCGTTCAATTTAATTCAGCATGCAATTTAATATGAAAATTTATCAATTTATCAATGACAGTCTTTTACGAGATATGCGATACATTAAACGAAGCTCTTTCGAATCGCTTTGCCAAATATATTGCTCGCGAAAAAAGGAACTAAAGCACTAAGATTCCTCTTCGATTACTCATAATCTCTGAATTCGCAATTTTCTATTTTAATGCGGATCGCTTGATATATTGTGCATTATTCTTAATACACCTCGGACCGTTCTGTCAGGCATTGTAATAAAAATTTTTATTTTTAAATTCTGAAAGTTTTTTATTATGTTGGATAGCTACGCTTGGTTGAAGAATCAATTGCATGGAAGCTCGATTCGAGTTTTATAATTGATTATTAAATTAATGGAAACAGACTTTGAAACGCTGAAGATAGATGTAAGGGCCTTGAAGAAGATGTTAAACTTAATGAGCTCGGCTTTCCAATTATGATTCATTGGCAATTAACGAAGTTTAGCGTATGAAAACGTTGATTATATATGAACAAAATATGTCCTCTTAAATCTTAAATCTGTTAGTACGAAAAAGTTATTTCTTTCCTTATAAAAAAAATAAAAATATTATCATATTTCATTCGTGTACACTATTTATAATATATATAATATTGTATAGTAGAGTTTGATTTATGCCTCAGAAACATATGTAATATAGTGCACTACGTAGTAAGTACTGAAATACAATCGAAACTGTTTTCAATCCCAAACGGTTAACATCACTCACGAATCAGTGGCATGTTAAATAAATTTGTTATTTTCCACTCTTTATTTACTTGCACAATATGAGTTGGCATGTATATAGTACTAATATTATATTCCTTTGTGATAGACGGAATTACCGATGATCAGCAGGCGCCAAAATTTAGTAATCAAAATAAAGGTAAATAAGCAGAACATACACACACACACACATATATATATATATATATATAACATCTAAAAAGCTGTACAACGATCGAATGGTCTTTATTTATGTGCATACATAATTACATAATTCTCGGACAGTTTAATTGCGAAAAGACGAAATTTTCATAATAAAAATATATGAGCGCCTTATAAATTATTTATGCTTGGTATTTCGAATGATATTTAGTATAACAAAATATAAAATTCCCGACAAATTTCTCATTATTTCTCATTTTACTATTACTCATTTTATTATTACTCATAATTACTAAACAGATTAGTATGAAATTTTTTTCTTATTTGATTCAATATACATTTGATGAGATTATTTTCTCCATTACGTGTAAATTTATTAATTTTACAACTATCATGAAAATTACTATTTAATCGTAGTATAAATCTCACAAGCCTTTATGCCAATGTCTATTGCATTTCATTAGGAGAAATGCTTACTGCATTTATAATAACGCAGTAACTTAGAATAGCTTAAACGGCAGACGTGACTTCAGTTTGCTAGACTTTTGATCAGCAGTGCCTGTAACTAGCATGTGTCACTATCGAGTTTTACTTTATTAAAAAGAAATCATATATGTCGATCATTAAAGTTCCAATTCACTGCGAGATGATATATTCTTAGCGATAAATTTTTTAGGCGGTGATTGATTATTCAAAGTCGCACGCATGCGTAACGCGCGCGTCACGTTCAACTATTATGCAACAAAATTTAATATAATACGTTATAATGTTAATTATTTGTAATTCACTTGCATTACCTAGACGGTAGCTTGACATTTGTATAATTTAATAAATTCTAACGGTAGGCTTATGCTGCCGAATATGGGCTTTGCATTACGGAATACAACGAGCATATAAGTATAAATTTTATACCTTTTAATTTTTCTTAATATTTGATTGGCAAAATTCATTCGTGTTTTCATATAATTTTTATCAATTACTGTCCTTGTTTATGATTAACCTTACATACGTAATCACCTGAGCCGTGAAATGATGTATGACACCTAAATTTAATTTCCTTACAAGCACACTAACATTATTGAATAATCAACAATTTTAGTACACCTACCCTCACTGTCTCAAGCTTACCTGTGGCGTTTTTAGATTTCAACTAATTTTATCGTGAAACGACGAAATTTTCAGAATATTGGACGGTAAGCTTTCTCAATAAGTTTGTCAATCTAGTAAGTTTGACAAGATCTAATGTATATTATAAGACTTAATGTGCACGCACAGATATTTATATATTTACAAATGTTGTAAATATTAGCACAACGAATTACGTGAATGAACGGGTAATGTATTAAAAAATTAATTGTCATTCAAAAGAAGAATACCTAAAGTAAAATACTGTTATCAGATGAGAATCGTATGTAATATGGAAACTTATATAAATTTAAATAAACGTAATATAATATATTTGAATAACATTACCGCTAATTTCTGCTCGCATTATGTACATAAAATAATAACGTATGATCATGCACGTGAACAACTGTGTCAACAAAATTAATTGAAAAATAACCACTCGGTCATTTCAGCTATTGCTTATTATGTACATCGAGGTATAAAAATTCATATGTCGAAATGTGTATTATCGGGAGATTTATTCGAAAATTGCTGAATGATTAAGGAAATTGAATAAATACTTTTTCAAATTTGTTGGAATTTTTAAAGATATTTATTTCATAGAAAGAATTCTCCTCATTAACGTTTCATAATTAGAATACCGATAGTATTGTTGTAATCAGTATTTTAATTAAATATTATCATATACCGATGAATATTATCGTACAGTTAGAAAAATCTAATCCCGTTATATGCGCCTGTGAGCGTAAATGTATAAGCTATCTACCACTCGCTTGTTGATTAAATCATAAAGTTACAATAAGTACCAAATGCTATTTATATATTAACATAAATAAAATGGAAATGCTTCATTAGGCATTAAAACCTTTGATTGGATAGATAAACGTCGCATAATACGATTTGCTTCCCATAATATAAATAATACGGTTTTATTATTAAGATAACTGACTACGTTCGACTAATTTCTACTTTTTATACAAAGTAGAAATTTGAATTATAAGTTAAAATTCTGAAGGCTATGATGAGATTTAAAATGATAAAAAATAAATTAAAAGGGTAATCCGTCGTCGTATTCGTATAAATTTTATTATGTACTTTCCTATATCACGAGGCAAGATGTACCAAAGATTCAAAAGAAAGAAGTGTCATTCCGGCTATACATTTTACGCACGTCGCGGAGAGAAGAAATATTATGCTGTTAACGACGAAGGAATGTTGAAAAGTCATTTATTCCTTATGAAAATTTACTCGTAATGTAAACGAATATTAAATCATAATAATTAACAGGGCCGCATTTAAAATGAATTCGAATTAAATAGTAAAGATGTATCGATTATATATTAGCGCGTATTCGAATTCACTATCAAGCATAATCAAACGTATAACAACCTATAATTCATATTCAACATCAATAGACAAATCATCAACTAAATAAGCAACGGATTTGTATCTAAACCTTTAAGATTAATATGCAAATCATTCGCGAGGGAATAACTTTCGAGACATTATATCGAGATCGAACATTTTAAATCCCTGAAAATAAAGTACGCGCGATAAGTGTTTGCATCCGTTTCCCCGGCTAATTTCCTCAATTAGAAAGCAAAAAGAAAATTAGCCTGATTATTCCTTTCGCCTCGACGTCGATTTGCGCTCCCAGTTACGGAACGGTAACGCTCAAAGCATTCGTTTCCGATTGTTTTCATCTCAACTCCAGAACTTCGCAATGTGTTCGGTTCTTGTGCATTGGGTACATCACATAATGCATAGACGGCGTTTTAGAAAAAAAACTCATCGACGCTGAGACTATCGGCCGTCTATGTCGGTAAGCGCGCAATTGGCCGATGCACTGGGAAAGTTCAATTATCCACCAATCCTAAGCTCGCAATGAAAACGCGGCATAGGCAAGCGCTAACCGAATCATGAATTTTCCTCTGCAGCTAGAAAATGCTCGTCCATTCGAGGACAGCGAATCCTCTTCGACTAGCGGACGAAAGTTGAAAAAATTGGGGGCAAAGCTCGAGATTCCCAAAACCCGGAATCGGGCTCTCACAACACAGGAAGAAAACGACCGACGACATTGTAAACGCGGCTGAACGTGCCTCTGCCCAACTACTGGCCAAGCATTAGGAAAAACGGTGGCTGCCATCACCAACGTCGCAGCCGCCGTAGCCGCTACTACTACTACTACTACTACTACTACTACACTACTACACTACTTCCAACACCGCCGCCATCAGCACCATCGCCACCACTACTAACAACGCCACTACCGCCACTACCGCCACTACTACCACCACCACCACCGCCGCCACCGCTACCACCACCACTCCACCGCCGCTACTACTACCACTACCACCACCACTACGACCGCTACCACCACCACCACCAGCACCATCAGCACCACCACCACCACCACCTCCACCTCCACCACCACCACTACCTCTACCTCTACTGCCGCCGCTACCGCCACCGCTGCCGCCACCGACGACGACGACGACGACCACGACGACGACGACGCCGACGACGACGACAACGAGGACTGCGAGAGCAGAGCCACTCGGCCACGGAGAAGCCAGAATTAAGTGTGACGTCACCGCGAGGTATCACTCGCGAGCGCGAGTCGGCCATTTTGTGAATGTGTGAACAATATCCAGGGTATTTGTGTGTCGAAAGCAGCGGAGCTGGCAAATGCTAAGGAACCGAAGCAAAAGCGGATGATTTAGTTGCGGCGAAACGGGCTAATCGCCGGCACTCCTGTCGTTACATGAACTGAGCAATTGTCAAAAACGTGTTCAAAATCGTTGCGCAAAACCCGACGATGGAGGAGAAGGCGTCCCTTAAAGATCTCGACCAGTGGATAGAACAATTGAATGAATGCAAACAATTGACAGAGAATAAAGTGAAAATTCTGTGTGACCAGGTAAGTCCTCATTTCACCGGAAGCTCATCCTCGAGACGCTTTTGCCCTACGGCTGCCCTGCTTTCTTTAGCTTCCGCTTGTCCGCCGGTCGATTTCCCCTCTTTCCATTGCCTGCCTCTCCCTCATTCTCTCTCTCTCTCTTGCTTCCTCGGCTGCATGAAAAAAATGGGTGGATTGGGCTATTCGTGCTTTTACCTAAAAGGACATTACCCCAAAGGCTTTGTTTTCTCTTCTCAATCATTAATGAATAGTTTACTCGCTTTCTTTACCTCTTTATTTTCTTCTGCATTCTATTTAATCTATAATCTTTTCATCTTTCAAGAACTTTTCTCATCTTTCGTCGATAAAACTTCAACATTTTTTTCCTTTGAAGGTCGACCGCGAAAAAGTGCAAGACCAGTTTTACAATTTGTTTGCGTGATTTTTCTTCTATTTCTTTTCTGGTTTTCTTTTTTTCTTCTTGAATATCACTATATCCAGTAATAACGACATAATATTAAATATTGAAATAATAATTGCCACAAGCATAATGAGATTTTATAAGATACACAAGTGTCATGAGCCAATTAATAATACTTAACTGTAATGGGTGAATGCACTAACTATTACACATGTGTGTATATACATGCATGGATTATATATACGCACACACACACACACACACACACACAAAACTTCTTTTTTAAAATGTTTTCTCTTTTAATTTTTGATAGTGCATTGTCATAATCACTGATTCTTTATAAACAGGATAATTAATTTGATTAGAAGTATAGAATTTCTTGTTGCAATTCAAGTGAGTCAGAAAAAATATATCTTCATAATTTATAGATGTGTTGATACAATTTGATTCTCAGATTAAAAATGACTCACCGCTACATCTTATATATACATATATGTATGCATGCATAGTTACATAGATTTGTGCATATACATAAGTGTATATGCCTGCATGTATTCATGCTTGCATATATATATATATATATATATATATTACATATTTAAAATTACATATTTATAATACTCAAACATAATTATGTATTTTATTTATGTAATCCATTAAATTATAAATAATTTATTTAGGCTAAAGAAATATTAACCAATGAGTCAAACGTGCAAGAGGTGAAATGTCCTGTAACAGTATGTGGAGATGTCCATGGGCAGTTCCATGACTTAATGGAACTCTTTCGAATAGGTGGAAAATCACCAGATACAAACTACTTATTTATGGGTGACTATGTTGACCGTGGTTATTATTCTGTTGAGACAGTTACTCTTCTTGTAGCATTAAAAGTGAGCTTTGATTTTAGTTGATTTTAGCAAATGTATGAAAATATCCAAGTATTTATATATGCTTTCTCCTATTAGGTGAGATACAAAGAAAGAATAACCATATTGAGAGGTAATCACGAGTCGAGACAAATTACACAAGTCTATGGATTCTATGATGAATGCCTTCGTAAATATGGCAATGCCAGCGTCTGGAAGTATTTCACAGATTTGTTTGACTTCTTACCTCTGACTGCACTTGTAGATGGTCAGATTTTCTGTTTACATGGTGGACTTTCTCCTTCTATCGATACATTGGATCATATTCGTGCATTAGATCGTCTTCAGGAAGTACCACACGAAGTAAATGGCCCAATATTTCATTGCGTATATAAAAAGTGCAATATGATAATAATATCAATGTTTTATTAGGGACCTATGTGTGATCTTTTATGGTCAGATCCAGATGACAGAGGAGGATGGGGCATTTCTCCCAGAGGAGCAGGATATACTTTTGGTCAAGACATTTCAGAAACATTTAATCATTCTAATGGTTTAACACTTGTATCACGAGCTCATCAATTGGTCATGGAAGGTTATAATTGGTAATATAAAAAGTTGATTTATATCCACAAAAATTGAGTCATATGAACAGTAAATTCTGATTGTCATTATTATCATCATCGTCATCATTGTTATTATTATTACAAAATTTGTCCTCGCAGGTGTCACGATCGCAATGTTGTGACTATATTTTCTGCACCTAATTACTGTTATCGCTGTGGCAATCAAGCTGCGATCATGGAATTAGACGATGCTTTAAAATATTCATTGTAAGTACCAACGATGAGAATTCATTTATTAAAATTGAAAATATCCACGGCGGATTGTACATTGATTGTATATTGTGTAATTTCTTACTGCAGCCTTCAGTTCGATCCAGCACCCAGACGCGGAGAGCCACACGTCACCAGGCGAACGCCAGATTACTTCCTGTAAGATGTCTAATCGGAAGGAAGTAGATTTTAAGGTAGGAGAATGGAGTGATGATGGCTTTATAGACATGCCACAAAACGTAACCTATAATAGAACATCGGTATGAGTGTAAGGCTCTGAGCTACCCTTACACGCCATTTATAGTCTCAAGTATTATAGAATGGCTCACGTTATGGTGTCTCCATGAGAGACTAATTGCGCGCCTGCGTATTCACGCGTAACACACCATATACGTAGATTCAACAACACTTTAAGAAGAAAAAAACCATGTACACAAGTACCAAGTAAATTGACCTAAAAGCATTGAGTTTGACGATTTTCATTGTATGGTTTATATTTTTATTGAAGAAAACTATTATGGACACAATATTGAAATGTAACCGTTACTGTAAATGGATAACAAAGAAAGCGGTAATGTTCTAAAATCCCGAATGAATGTTAACTTATTGAGCGATAAAGAAAAGTTTACTGGAGGGATGCGCATCTTTTTCCTAATTGTATTGCGAAGATGACCATTGTCACGAAGATACGGAATAAGTACCAAACTGAAAATAATTGTATTTAAAAAAATTTCTGTCGTTCTAACTGGTGTGAAAGGAGCGTGAAACACTTCTCTAAACAAGTGCATATAATCATTCAAAGAAGGGTTGATGCAATAGTGACTTTCATCTTTTATTTTTGCCAATGCTTAATGTGGCATTTGAGATCAATGAACTTTACATTTATTATTCTTTCTTCCTTACGATTGTCAAACGCAGTGTTCTTAGAGCTTATAAGTGGTTTCAACTACTATTATATTATATGAAAGATTTATGACAAAGTGGAGCCCAATGGACCATACGTTTTCTTTATAATACAAATTTAATTTCCGTACACTTAAAAATGTGAAAAAATGTCTGAATTTATTCGAAAATTGATTTTATATCTTCTTGTCTCTATTTCTCTCTTTTTATCCAAAAAGAGAAATAAAGAGTTTCAATCCAAAAAATTACGTCTAATTTAGAGAAACTTTTTTTAATGTACCAGTACACGCACCCTTGGCATTTACTTTATGTCTTCTGTTGTATTAGAATGAATTTTGTTTTATCGAGTTTCGAATTGTACGTGAAGAAGATGATACTTCTGCATAAAATTTGTACTTTTTTTAAAAATACACTTTAAGACCAGATTTATTTATATGAATCGCCGGATTGAGAGATACGAAAACGCGTCGTGACACTTTTGCATCAAACCCTATTTAAATTACCTTTTTTTAATAAGATACGCATCTGATGCATGAAATAACAATTATTATGTTGAAAGTTAATTTTTTCACGATTGATGAACTTTTTACTAAGTAAAAAACAATATAAAACTAAACGCTTCTGATGAATAAAAACTGTGTAATTCAAGCCAAAATTAATAAAAAAAAATAAAATAATCATAATAATTACAGAATTTAAGTAAAAAGAAAAAGAAGATTGCAGATGTATTCTTAAAGTTAAGTATGAAAATTCATACACATAATGAATTATTACTGATAGTTCTCCGAAAAAGATGGCTTTAAAAAAAAAAAATAGCGTAATTAAGAGCCGAGATAAACGCTAACGACGAGACAAAATAAAATCAGTGTGTAGTATCATACGTAGTAGCAACTTGTCAAGACTGTAAATCGGTAAAATTCAACTATCAAGATAATTTTTTAACTCAAACGTTTCCCCTCCTTTTCAGACATACATATAAACAAAACAAACATTTTTTTTTCTTACTTGTTCAGAAAAAAATGTGTACTTGCTTTCGAATAAATGAATGAATTTATACAGTAACAAAAGAAAATAAAATCCCCCTTTGACTTGGATTTTAACATTTTAAGACCTTTGTGAATTTGTTTATGTAGAAGCATTTTTAGGTAAAGCCTTTTTCAAAGTAGCAACATAATACACAAAGCCAGGATAACGATAACGTCGAGAATGCATTAATTTATTAATATTAATAATATTAATTATAATAAAGAGGCAAAGTTCTGATGATTTTAACACTTGTCTGTACTTCTATTTAACATAATTTTATCATGTTAAGATAATGTGACTTGGGAGAGAAGATGATTTTCTCATTCGTTAAGAGACGAACGGCAATTGAAAAATCCGCAGCGTCATTGACAACAATCGGTCAAGTTAAATAGCGGTACAACATTACAATAAATAAATTAACAAGCGACATTTGGAAATTGTATAGTTAATTTTGTATTTGCTCTATATTTATATTTACGGTACTTTACCCAAACGATATACGTAAGAAAGGCTTATTTTAGGAAGTCGTCGAGCAAGCAAAAGGGAGGAAAAAGCGAGAGCACTAAACGAATCAGAATTGCATGACGTAAAGTACAGTAAGATAAGTTCGCTCATTATTTTGAGATTTCAATTCAAATATTATTATTCGTTTAGTGGTAGCCCCCTGTAAATCAGAAAAACTTGGATTATCGACGAATCGCGTTGTAGCGAGAAAAAAAATGCTTCGCCCCTTTTTATAAAAGAGAGACGCAATGCGCGAGATTTTCACGTCACTAGCGTGTGCAAGTTGACACCGACGACACGCGTTTAATTATTCATTTTTGGTGACCCTTCAGCAACTTATATTTCCATAACAAATTCGTGCGACACCTTCGACACTTTGAATAATATATGTCCGAGTAGAGGCAAGAAGATCATATCGTTCTGAAAGAAAGATCGTGTAAATTTAGAAACTAATACAAGCTCCGAGAATAGAAACGAATTATTCGAAATTATCAGTGCGGATTGCAAAGTTACATGGAACAGCATAAATAAATAAATAAATAAATAAATAACAAAGAAAAACCGATACAAACAAAAAATTAGATAAACAGTATGTATTGTAAAAGCATTTTATGTCGTATTAGAAAGGCGTGTCAGTATAAATTTACATGTTTACGTTCAGGCCGCGATTTCGAGAAATTTTAGAGAAAGTTCGAGGACGGGAGGGGAGGAGCTATGTTCATCAAGCGTGTTGTTTAATGTTATCTATGTTCGTAACAGTCAACTTGCGCGTGTTGCCTTCACCGCAACATCCTTTTTCACAATAACCACGTTTTACGCGGCTTGCCGTTTTACGCTGGGCCGTACTTATCGGCACCGTAATAATATTTAATAAAAATTATGTTAATTCTGCTGCTAATCCAGAGTTATTGTGTCATCGTATCACGAACGATCCAACCAAATTATTGTATTCCGATGCGAGTGTTGGTCCCTCATCTTTGAATTTAATTCTTTTTATTTTCAAACAACTATCAGATTATTCAGAAAAAATAAAATATAATAAAAAATTAAGTGACTCCACGTCTTTAATTTTCAATTTACTCACAACTGCTTTCGTATAATTTTTTGAGCACGAACCCGGGCATTAACAACGCCGCTAACGCGCGCTGCGATTAATTTGTTAATAAATGTCGTCGCAACTTGAGTGACAAACACAGGCGCATTATTACTCCTTGCAGTACGTTTATAAAAACTCGTAACGACCAATCTTGAACGGCATAAGAATTTTCCTTGCTCGCTACATTATTAATAGCACTCCATTTTCGTATCAGCGTCAGTGCAATACAATTAATTTAAATTAAAAATATATATTTTTTATGCAAGAGGCAATATTTAAAATATCGTCTATGTACTCAATCGTGAATATAGTTTCATTTTTATTTACAAAAGTTCTTAGATAACTTATATTAATATTAAGTTATTCTATTTCACAGAAATCAATTTTGTATTTTATAACCTTCAATATTTTAAAAACTGCACTTTGAAACTTACTCGTTTCATCGGGCCACCGATTCCTTTTTACATGTATTTCTTGTCAAGACTATTTACTTAAGCCATTAAGAAAGCCAATAAGGTAATTCTATAAAAAATATAACTAATAAAAATAATTAGACTAACTATAGTAAAGTTAAAATAAAAATTAGCACTCATATTTTCATTCCCGTATCTAGATCTAAGATCTGCTTCATGACTTCGTACGTGGCAAAGCTCATAGCTACCATTGGAATAGCTCTTAAATAATTAATGCTCATTCCACGATAGAGACCTTTTACTATACCATTTTCATGGTATATCATTCTCAATGTCGATAACATGCTATTGCTAGAACAAAAATGACACGCTTTGTTAATATCAACAAATAATTGTTACTCTTATTACTATTGGTATTATTGTATACCTAAATTTATAAGTTTCTGGATTCATCATTGCTAATTGCATTCGTCTTCTAGTCACGTCTAATGGATAAGAGAAGCTTTGTGCAATAGCTCCAGCAACACCGCCACACAATAATTTACCAGGAATCGTTAATACCAGACCCCCTGACGAGACAAAATTTTTACTATTAAACTTGCATTTCACGATGACAATGACAATACAAATAGGCAATATATAATACAAACACTTGGGTGTAATTGTTTTCTTACCCGTATTTTTATCACGTTTGCTGCAAAAAACATTTGGACAATATCTCATACAGACGTACTTTAACTTTTCAAACGAATAGAAAGAGAATCCCGCATATGGAATCATGCCACAAATGGTGGGTACGAATCCCCTGTACAATGCTCTCAAGCCACCTTCCTAAAATCAATAAGTCATTGTAATCATCCTGTAAAATGACAACGATCGCTTAGGTAAATAAGCGCATACATCTTTAAAGATAGATACTGCCGTATGTACAATGCCAGTATACATATGCTCTCCGGTCACTTGAAAAGCCAGGCGAGCTCTTATTGTATCGAGTGGATATGTAAAAGCCACAGCTGTGACTCCTGCCGATGAACCAGCCAAAAACTTATCGGCGTGCGTCCCACTTCCCAATTTATTGCCTAAATACTACAGGATATTTATTATTGAAACTTTTCAACAATCCATGTAAATTCCATTATAAAAGTGCTTTACTAACGACAATTTGATGAAAATTATATAAAATTAATTTCTTACCTTCTTATAAACTTCAAAAGCAGTGAATTGCGTTGCTGCGTATGGGAATATTCTTACCATTTGAGCATAATTACCTTTGTAAAGGGCAAGGAAATGTTCACGATCAACGATTTCTTTCAAACCAGAAAAAACCCCTAAATATTAATAGATTAAGGACGTTAAGTGTAAGTGAAAGTGGCGCGCTTCACGAAATTCCAGGCCAATATACATTACCCAAATGCTTGTAGTGATTATTGTGTGCTTGCAAGAGGATTTTTATTCTGTCCAGCGGGGCTACCGTTGTCTTCGAACACATCCCCGCAACCCCTGATAATGTTCAAGAAATTCATTATTCGAGAATGGCCAAGTCAATATCAAGGCCTTATCGAAAGTCCTTTTCGACATTTCGGGAAGAAGGCGGACAATTGGATAAATGGGTAAATGGATAAATAAATTAATTAACAATTATTGGATAAATTGGCGCAAATGATAATGGGATATGGAAAAAAAAAACATTGAAAATAAACGCACCGCCGGCGAAAAAACTCTTCAAGACGAACTCCAGGTTCTCGGTCCGTATGCCAAACGTCGACATGGCTTAACGCGGCCACGGCTCTCGCAAGAATGCCGTCCCCGGACGGTAAACGCACTTGGAGCTCGCAGTTTAGAAAGCAAAAATACCGCGGTGCGCGCCTTCGCGCCGCGCCGCAAGCAAACACGCGTACCTGGGATAGGGGTGGGGGAGGAGGGAACGGAGAGAGCGCACACGGCCGTTCGGCTTTTCTCTCGGGCGCAAGTGTCCCGGAATGAGTCAGTAACCTTGACTGACATTCCCGTGCCCGTCCTCGGTGGGAGGTGAGAGCTCCGTTCGAAATTCGGGTTACACTTCCGGTGAGGAGCGCGCACTTTGGACTATCAATTGCAGATTGCGAGTCGGACGATGGATGAAGGCGCCGGGGATGCCCGAAGTACTAAAGTCAATGTCCGAGCTCGAGGTCGTCGTAGTCGAGCAGCCGAGCAGCTGAGCAGCCGACTATGCGCACCGACCCCTACTTTGGATTTCCTCTCGCTTTCCACCAATCGACATCGATGCGCCTTACTTTGTCATTGCCGGCGTAGTATTTTCGTGTTGCCAGAAGCCCGCCTCCCTTGCGTTATCTTGACAGGAGGATCCCTTATTACCCTGGATTTCCTCTCGTACCCGCTATTTGCCCATTGTCCTTCGCCAATGCAAATGCCTCGTTAGCAAAACATGAGCAATATAATAATCGTGAATTCTGGAGGAGTCTTGCCCGGAGACGACGATCGTATTTTAGTTGGTATACTGTGCTAACCACGTGTACCCCTAAATTGCATCGCACATTTCTTTTTTATTCAACACTGCACATAACCTATATACGTGAATCGCTATTGTTTTGCGTTTTCTTTTCTCATTTTTCATTGCTTTGTTTTATTTCTTCGCCATGGCCACTCCAATTTTATCGAAACCTCAACAAAGAAAGTCACTCTCAGCGAAAAAGACACCGATAAGAGGCTTGAAAAATGTTTTAGGCCAACCATTCGAAATGACCTGGTAAGATTATTGAAATTTTAATGAAATGAATGAATGGCAAATAAACGCGTGTCGTTAACTTGTTTACATTATTTTTCCATCTCTGCAGGCCTCATCTCCAAAATGATCAGGATTCAGTATTGGAGAATCTTTTAAGAAAGTAATGCTTTCATCATTAAGTAAAATTTATAATAATGTTTGAAACAAAAATGCTTTTAAATGATTGAGATAAATGTTGCAGGTTATTAATAGTGTTAAAACCCGCCGAACACAAAATTTCATGGTCAAAACTTTATAAAATGAACAAGGAAGAGCGATCGGCTGCAAAGAAAGCCGCTCTGTCTAGCTGCACCGATAATAGCAACAAATTCAATTTGTATAGTGCTATATGTGCATTTGTTTATCCATCTTTGTTTTTATAAAAATTGAAAATTGTTTACGTCTTTATTATTTCAGAAACTCTGTGATTTTTGGAATTAATAAAGTTACAAGATCTTTGGAGAAAGATGACGTGAGCTGTATATTGTTAGACGCCAATGTGGATCCTAAATTACTAGTCAAACACATAGTCCAAATGGCTGAACTTAAAGGGGTGCCAACTCTTTTAATATCTTTTTTGAAAATAGTAACATTAGATACAATCGGGTTTGCTTCTGCAGCAGTTGCTCTAAAGGTAGTTGCTGGCAAAGGCACTGACATTGTAAATTTAATCATACATTTTATTCAAAAGAAGTTATTTTAATTTTTAGAAACAGGTACAAACTTCGCCCGATGATTACTTCTATTCATTATTTGAAAAGATCTCGGAATTATCCTTAGAATTTGTAAATTTAAAAAGGCCTGTGCGTTTGTTTGAAGAAAACTTACCAGTGGATGAATTGATTCCAAAACAAACTCAAAAACAGAAAACAAACAAAGATGATAATGAAAGTGAATTTGATAATGTTTTCTTAATTAGAAAGTCAAAGAAAGAAAGAGTCTTTATTCCACCAACTTCTAAGATGAAAAAAGAAACTGAAAAAGTAGATTTAAATTTTATACCTCTTTCCGATGATAAACAATTTGTTCATAACGAGAAAATGCCATCAAGGTTCTTTGAAGCACCTATTCTAGGTAATCCCAAAAGCGATAAACCTAGTAATAGTGAAAAAAATAGCGATAATGAGGGATCCAACGATAGTGATAACGTGGTATCAAATAATAGTAATAACGAGGTATCACAGAGAAAGGGTGGTAAAAGGAAATTAAAAAGGACCACCGAACACGTTAATCAGGATAAAGTCATTTATCAACCATTAAAAGTAAAACGTGTGCAAGGTAACGAATTTCGGTCAAAAGCAACGAAACTCTCTAAACAGAAAAGAAAACAACAAAGAAAAACGATTTATAAATAAACAAAGTATAATTTTATACAAAAATTTTACATTATGTACAGTGTTATATTACATTGAAAGCTTTTTGATTTTATAAATTAAAATTAATGTTTTATATGTAAAAAATGTCAGACAGATAAAGTTGAGCTAACCGAAGATTTAAACATTCTTGTAAAAAACATAAGTCCTGTTGTTCCTCCAGGTATGTGACTTATTAAAAATGATAACATTGCAATTATTTGTAATACCGCGCATAAAACAGTTAACGACGTCGATTGTAAATGGAGAGCAAAATACAAAGTTCCTGTTAAAGTAGCAATGTAGGTAATGGAAAAACACCTTCTTTCCACTGAAAACAATGATGTTAAATAAGTTAACGGACCCCACAGGAATGCAAAGCTGTAAAAATAAAATAATTTCAAATTTATGCTTAGTAAAATTAAAAGTGCAGTTATATCGTAATATTTATACCTCATTAAGAAAAACAAACTCCCTATTGAATAAAGAAGAGCAAATTTCCTAGCTTTTAAGAGTAATACAGGAATATATATGGTGGATAAACAAAAACATAAAATTCCCATTACAAAACAAATTCCAAATGCGGTGAGCCTTTGCAATCTTGTCTACAACAGAATATAATTAGTCGGATAATAGATATTAACGTTTGAAAAAGGTTATAATCGGAGCACCAACCATGCTAGGACAACATTCTTTGCTCGCGTCCTTCAACCACCCTGATTCTTCTCTGTCTTCTTCTAAACTTCTGCCAAACCATTTTCCTAAACCTAGCTTTGGAATTCCCACCGATGGCATCGCAATTTTATATTGTTTTTCATTTTTATTGCTTAGAAGATACTCGTTCAATTCCTTATTTAGATCGGCCATTTTGACACGTAACCTATACACAAGCATTATGTTTACAATTGCGGTTGGTAAGGCAGGGATTCCTTCTTCAATTTTGACGTTGACTACGATGAGTCACTCGCGACCGAGATCGTAATTATCTCGAATAGCTTTCATATTTCTATTACCTCGTAATGATAAAGTCCTCGCCCCGATACCATCGACAATTTTCCCACTGTAATACAAAGAATTTTAATTTCCTCCAGCTTATCGCGTTCTCCCGTTACCTGAAAATATAATGAATTGTTTGCCGTATAATGAAGAGTTGAACCAAATAAATAAATAAACAACATTTTTGGATTTTCAAACTTACATTTATTTAAACAAATCAACATTGACCTCATATTATGGGTTGCGTATCGTATCGCTTACGTAAATTATGCATTGCTCTACCACGCAGAACAAATATTCCCTGCATCGCGCCGTATCGTTCATTAACTATGTTTTTACCGCTTCCTTTCGTATATAATCGTTAGTATTCCTTTTTTGGTATTGATTTCAGACGATCGCGAAACACTCGGAAGGGGTATACATCCGATATCTTTTTCTTATCTAAATTAATCGATATTGATAATATCAATGGTACAATGCTGGACTAGAAAAAATGTTGAGCTTCTTCGATAAACTAATTTCTCAGTGGCAATTAACTAATGTAGGTAGGCAAGGCCAAGAAAAAACGAGCTGAAGAAGGAAAGCAATGAAATGGTATTCCTGAATAAACGCTTACAGTATCACGTAATAAATCAATATAATTATAATATAACAAATAATCACATTTTAGTCAGATCTATGATCTGTGTACTTGTTTTTTTTTATTTTTATTTTCATTTTTTTTATATATATTTTGACGTCCCTTTTTTCATAATTCTATGGCTCTATTATTTTGCTTTTTACGTTATTACTTTTGTAAATGCTTTTGATAGATACACGGACGAAACTGCTAATCCGTTAGGAAGGGAATTCTCGTAATTGTTGTTTATACAGTATACGTCTGGTATGATAAATGTTTTCAACGTTAACTATTTTGGCTTTTATCCTTTATTCATATATTTTCGCTCTCTCTCACTCTTTCTCAATTTCATTCATCTCGCTTACTGTTATTTCCTCTGCCGTTTCTCCTCTCTCACACTACTCTCGTATTCATGCTAATGGCAGCAATATACAACAACAATAACAACAATAATAATAATAATAATGAAAATAATGAAAATTATCATGAAAATAATGAAAATATAAATAATAATGATGATGATAATGATGACGACGACGACGACGACGATGATGATACTAAACATTATACCGTAGAATTTTTACATCGTCCCTCCATCGCTTAAGAATTAAATTCAATTGCTAAGAATCTCGTAACGAAGGAGATTTACCATCATTATTTTCATTCCAAAGCCTTTCCCTCGCCTTCTCCTCCTCCTCTTCCTTCTCCTCTTCATCCTTCTCCTCCTCCTCCTCCTCCTCCTCCTCCTTCTCCTTCCTTCCTTATTCCCTCCCTCGCCGCATCGTCCTATTTATTCGTGCTTGCTTGTTTTTATTTGCTCTCTCGGTTTCTCTACGCGATAGATCGAATGCACCATCGAAAAACCTAAAAACCTAGCGAATTTTAAACGAGCCGCAAAGGGAGCCTTTCAATATCGCTAAGAGTTAGTGGTTGCGGAGAGAGAGAGAGAGAGAGAGTCGAGCGAATGCGGTCGAGCTCGGGTTTTCATTTCATAGGGACGTTTTAATTAAAAGTCCCACATTTTACCTCAAAATTGATTAAAGAAGGTAATTTTCGGAAGATGCCTGCGTCGATTTTTTCACTCTTGCGAGCACAAGGAAATTGATTACCAAGTACACGCAGAATGGCCGGGGTGTGGCGAGGCGACTATTCTGCCGAAAATAATTGAATGATTTGAATAAAACAACTCGCCTGGCTTGTCGCGCTAAAGAAAATTTATCCTTTCAACTTGGCAAGTGAACCTACTTGTCGTTTATTTCATCATGAGCTATCTAAAAGTAAATTCTATATGCGCGTGCTAATGGACGATATCACGTAAGGAAATATCACGTTAAATTCGCACTCTTTTGCAAAGCTGCGGCTAATTCATTCGTTACGAAGCGAGAAACTACCTTCCGAATAAGCAGTACTAGATTGCTTATCTATTTTCTCGGATGTGTGTACGCGTAAGTGTCGCAAACTTACAATGGCATGCAAACTTATGTACAGTTCTCGCAATTTAAGATGAATAATATCGTATTTTAATTTGCAACTATACTTAACTTTTACTTAATGCCTATTGGATAATCATACAGATATTCCATTGGTAAATAAATGTGTAGCTCGTAGAATGTAGAAAATACGAAGTATTGCGTTTTTAAGAAAAAGATTGACGATCTTTCTTTTATCGCACTAACGTTTTCATTATCATTGACATCATTTTTACGCACAGCTCCCTATTTATACAATTTTTTTCAATTTTCGTTTCTTTTCTCTTCGTTTCTTCTTCTCTCTAACTCGATCTCAATCGCATAATTTGACCAATCTTAAAGATCCTCCAAATCACCACGAACGATCGTCTGTCAATTTTCATAAAATATAAACAAATGCAAACAATATTGCGCATAAAACGTATGCAATATTTATTTGCGTTAGCACATTGTTAATACTCGTTTGTCTTAGCATATAGAAGTCTCAATAGTTTTCCTAGTTTTAACAACGGTTTATCAATTTCAATTAGTATCGCAATTGATTTTCATCCTACATATGGCTTCCTTCCTCTCGCATTCTCACTCCACTCGATAATTGTATAACGAAGTCGTCATAATCCCTTGACTTACACACCAACCAATGTAAAGTAAGTTTCACAAGCGATTTTATTGCATAGAAAGAATCAAAGTGTTATACAAGTGAAAGGTAAGATTTAAGACAAAATTAAAAGCGAGGAGACTTTCGAAAAAAGAAATGAAGATAAAACCGATGGGAACGCGTGAAAAGAAATACTTGCGAATTGTAAGGCGACCGGGGAGTAGATAGATAAAGATTAAATTAAAATTGACAATCGTTTTGATCAATTCGGCAGGAATCAAGAGAAGTTCGACGATATTTGTGTAAATACTTATTTGCTATATCTTATAAACGCGCACAATTAACAAACGAGCTTCTCACATATTATTCAGTCTACGAAAAAATAAAACGGAAACGAATGATCGAGTTATCATTTAGCTGAGGTACTTCTACTTATACATTAATTAAAGAGAGCATTGGGATAATACTAATCTTATCCCGACATTACGCAAATTAACGTTTATTATTCATAGTTACAATCATCATAATTTTTTGCTTTATTTACGTAGTTGCGCAATGCGAGGAAAAAAAATTCTCCCGTTACAAAGTCTTTGCATTACGCCTAATCAGACCTTTTCGTTTTTAAATATGTGAGAGTATTGCACACGCCGGCACAGGACCGCCAACTTTACTCGGCAAGGCCCTTGAGAAAAAAAATTATTTTTCAGATACGTATGCACAAACGCAAACGACTTTTACGAAATCAACATAGACTCGGAGCTCAAGTTGTTTCGCATCATCGTTTCGATAATTTTCCTTCTTACTCACGAAGGCTTATCTAGTAATAACAGAATCGTGTTTAATCTTTCATTCTCTCTCTCTCTCTCTCTCTCTCTCTCTCTCTCTTTATTGCATTCACGCGCATACTCACGTTCTTTTTCTGCCTCTTTCTCTTACACTCTTGCGCACACTTACAAGCATACGCACGCAGGCACGCATTCTCTTTCTCTCTCTCTCTCTCTTCATTGTTTATTCGCAACAGTCTAGGTTCATTTTTCTACGCGTATGATGCATTGTTATGTCCTTCGAGCTTTCCGTTCACTTCTTACACGTTCATCCCAAGACGCGAGGGTCCGCGATGCGATTTGTTTATTCCTCTACGTGTTACTCTGGATGTCGAACCTTTCACGAATCAATAACACGAGATACGCACTTGAAATCTCGGAGTCGGTAATGTTCCACTGCAGCCATGAAAAAGCATCACTCGTATAAGGAAGGACCGTCGTATCGCTCCGGCAAAGCCCCGAGCTCCTTGATTCGGGCTCTGATCGTAGATAAAAAAAGCGGCAGAGTCCGCTTAATGAAAAAGTGGCCTACACCGTAGTGACATACTCCCTGAGTTCCTGGCCCTCGTTCTCCTCGTTACGCGCGACCTCCTCGCTCCTGGCCCGGAAGACCGGGGCGCGTCTCTCGGTCTCGAGCTCGGCCCAGCTGCGCATCTCCTCGCTCAGCGAACGCTTCCCGGGCTCCCGTCGTGGGACCTCGAGCAGGGCCCGCGAGCGTACCAGCTGCGGCCGCCGTGGCTGCGACTCCTCCGGGCGGGTCGGCTCTGGGCGCTCCGCGTCCTGGGCGGCGGGACCGGATGGTGACTGGGTTCGGGCGCCAGTGATAGTGGCGGCTGCGCCGACGGCTCCGCTCTCTCTTTAGAATTATCCTTCTCGCTCATCCTATCCCCCTTCTCATCCACTATTCCCTTTTCCTTCTTCTTCCTCCGGCTCCTCTTCTCTCCTTCTTCAAATTCTTCTTTCTCATCGGCGCGCGTAGACCATAGCGGTGGCGAGGCCTCGCGCCAGGCCCCCTGGTAGATGGGGAAGGCCGACACCTGACTCAGCAGCCGCCACCGCTGTTCCGCTTCCGGGCCCTTGACCGGGGAGGCGGCGGGTGGCGGTACTCGTGGGGGTGTCACGCTCCCAAAGCCCGAGGCTGACCGCGGCATCTCCCCGGCCGGCTTCCAGACGACATCCCCGAGGCACTGCGCATCGCGACAGGGCCATCGGGCTTCCGGACTCGAATCCGCTCGGGCGCGGGACCGTTCCCGCAGGCTCCGACTTTTGAGCTCCTCGCCGCGATGCGTCTCCGTGCGGCGGCCCGAGGGCAGCGAGAGCCGCGGCCCCGGGGCCCAGTGAGATCGGGACTCGGGCGAGCCGCGCTCGATCCTCAGAGGTGGAACCGACGGGCAGGTGCAACGTTGACGCGGGTTCAGAGAGACCTCGGGCAGGTCAAGGTCGCGTTCAGCTCCAGGGGCCGGTTCTGGCTCGGGGTTCGCCCGCGGGAGGGACCAGCGCTCAGCTTCGACGCCGTGGCGCTCACGGTCCAATGGACCGTGGGAGTCGTGACGGCTACGAGTCCCGGGCCCCGATTCGGCCCGAGGACCCTGAAGCTCCCAGCGGATCTCCGCGCCCTGGCTGGCTTGGAGACGTAGGTCGCGATGGGCGGCCTCGGGCGAGAGGAAGCTGCGATAGGCGCCGTCCTCGGGAGAGTGCTCCGGGGCGTCAAGGTCCTCGATTGTATAGGAGATGCGAAGGGGCGGGCAGGCGGGGAACTGTGCCGCTTCTTCGTTATCGGATTCCGACGGACACTCATGGGCCGGGCCCGGGCCCGCCGCCGCCGCCGCCGCCGCCGCCGCCGCCGCCGCCAGGTCAGGCCGTATGGGCGAGCTCTCCTCCGGTGTGCGTCTGCTGTCAGAGCGTTGTAACGTTGCAGCGTTGGCGGCCGATTCGTACCAGCAAGTGCGTGTAGCTCCGTCAAGCCGCCTTGGTGGGGACCGCGAGTCCGGAGACGACGAGGCTGCCGCTGAGACTCGTCAGGTCCATGGCTCCGTAGGCCTGTCGACACAGAACTCGGCATTAGCATTGGACTCGGCTTTGGGACCTTAGGGCTTCCGCGATTGGCCTTCCCCGATCGCATACTCGTGCGACTCTCTTCCCGATCTCGAGGCACGATCTTCAAGGCTCGCCATTGTGCACTTGGGCACTCGAGAGCGGCGGTGCGAGCAGTTCTCTTGGCTTTTTACGGCGAGTGCCGCCTTACGATTTTTTTTATCGATCGCAAGCGTAATGCAAAGTTCGCGTGTTTTATTCGGCCGTAGGTCACTAAAGTTTATCGCAGCTTTGTATTTTTATGGGTAGTTTTGCATTGCGCTCGGTATCCGCTTAACTCTTCGTCTAGAGTGTCGATGGACTCGAGTGCAACTATACGTAGGAACGTAGTCATTAATATTATCGTAATAATGCGTAAATAGTTTTAACGGACTTATTTAATGCGTATTTAGGAGGATTAACCTCGCAAGTAATTTTTAGTCTTTAAATAAATCCGTATTTTTAATTTTCTTGGATCTCGGCATATTTCTGACATTGACGGTGACTTTACCACCACCCACTCGTTCGAAATACCCAAATACGGGACTATGGGTCATATTGTTCTGTGAGCTTTATCCTTCAGAATTAAAGAAAAAGAAAGGAAAAAGCTACTTTACGTGAAAATCGTATTAATCTCTGTCGTGAAATCATGAAATCTGGAATTTCCTCGCTAGTAACGAAACGATTCAAGATATTAGCAATGACTTGAAGCGCGAATCACCTTCCGGACTTTGGTAATGAAAATAGTGGTCGGTTCGAGCGCGCTAAGCCTACCCGTTAGCTGTAATCGTGCATTTAACTAACCGTGGGAAGCCCTCGCCGTGCCGTTGCAAGCGTCGTCAAAGTCTAAAATAATTACGCGACCCAACATGCCTTCAATTCGGAGAAAATTTCTGTAAAGTATCCGGGCTCGCTGTTGATGCGCAGCATCTTGGAGCTCAGTCGGTTGACGATGAGGAGGCACCTGTCCCAAAATTTGTCCTTGCTGTCCTCGACGAAGAAGGGCTTCTGCGGGTAGCTGATCTCATTGCCCATGTAGCTGTAGGACAGATAGAGGCAGGTCAGCACCGTCGCCTGGAGTTCACGCTCGGATGCCTCCTTGCCGTCGACTAATTCGCGCACGAGCATGTACACGAATACCACATTCGCTGGATTTATGAACGCGACATCCTGAAAGGAAACGAGAAGTCAAACGATTTGCAACATCACGGCTATGTCGAAAATATTTGGAATTTTTATGGGTGCGTATAGATGTTATCACAATGGTAAAAGAAGAAGTTGGCGACACATGGCTTTTTAAAGATAAGATACAAGCAAGTGTTGCGATGAAATTAATGTCGAAAAACAGTAACTATGAAAAATACTTGTGTGGGGTATATTATTAAAGAAGTATTACGAATTATTTAATACTATTGAGCAAATTTGATTTTGAATTGATAACGATAAATGTAAAAATATAAGAGCATCTTTTATTTATACATGTTTGCAAAATATTTTTTACAGTCTATAGCCTATCTATCTATTTATATATCTATATATATATATATATATATATATATAAATAAGAAAAAGATTGTGAGTTGGAAAAGTATTACAATTTTTTTTTAATTTATGTAAAGCTCGACACGATTAGAAGTAGGCTTCAACAAAAATCTACAGACGTCTATTTTATGTTCAAATTTCTTGGGTTCTTTTTATTAAACCTATTTTTAATTTACGTAATTAATGACTCGACTATGTAAATTGTGTTAATATTTTATTGACTACATCAGACTATTAAATTAGTAGCATTTAATATGATTAATATATCTATAAATAACTTATTGTCGTTGTTTTTTAATAAGAATAAGTTAAAATTTCATTCCCATCAATTTATTTAAAAATATGTATAACTATTAATCTTTCAAAAAAAATGTATAAAATGCATTTTCACTTAGATGTAACAGAAGAATCGTTCTTTTCAATAACAACATTTAATTTTCTTTTATTACAAATTCATGTTTTTAATAAATATTCATCTAGCAAATAAATAATTTTGTAAATTATTTATTGAAAATATTATGAAGAGATTGGAAAAGATTGGAAATTAAATATCATGATTACTTCAACCAGCGTCAAATCAATATTTTCATTATTTAACTAATGATATTTTACGTTTCTATTGATTAACCCATAGATTATTCACATTTGAAAGTTTTATAAATAAACAATAATAAATGGTTATTGTTCTTCGTAATTAATCTTTAATTAGACAATAAAAATAATTTTCAGATACTGAAATTTAATAAAATGTTATAGATTTAATGAAATACCAGTGGCAATATTGTCTTTTGATTATATAGTTATTGATTTATACAATGAACTTTTATTAAATTATTAATCTTCGTTCATTGCAAAAACGACATTAAAAACTATTTTTGTACCAATATTTAGCTAATTTTTACTCGGAAAAAAAATTTGTCATTTAAATCCAGTAAAATATCTAATTACTTTTAAAATAATAATACATATACATGTATATATATATATATATATATATATATATATATATATGTGTGTGTGTGTGCCCGCGTACGCGCGCGTATATGTATACGTATATATTCCAGGTATCCGTTTAAATATTTAAAAATATCGGGCTATTATCTTATGTGGCGGCATCAATTTTTGCATCAATTCGCAATGTAGGTAACATAATTTCACATACCTTTTAAAGCCGAGGACAAGAGCAACATAACCGAGTACCCGGGTAATTAAATTGACATTTTTGTATTTCAGCGGGGTAAAGAGCCCAGCCGATGACTGTTGCTATTTTTTTATCATAATGCGAATCGAGGGAGCTCGGATGCCCGATTTCCCTCGTTTTCAAGGATCTAAGGCGGGTGAATCCACGACAGACCCGATGACAGTCGTACACAATGAAAATGGCTCTTTGATCGTGGAAATGGCGCCGCGGAGCTTTGATCAGCGTGCCATCGTTTAGCGAAACATACGGGCCAGTGGGTCGAGTGGGTCGGTAGGAGGATATAGCACCAATCGGGATCGGCCAAAGCAAAGGTTCTTCCCGAGGATGACGAGATGCTGCTGGCGAAAACGTGGGACGTGGTCATCGAACCTGACCACCCACGCCCCGATAAGCAGCAACGACGATGAATAATGCCGGGCAATACAATGGGAAATCTGGCCTCAAACCATTACGTGATAATCAATGAGCGCCATTGAATTTGTTATCCCTCCGTGATAGGACATTAATATTTATGCGATAGTATATTGGATTTCATCATTTTCACCGGACATGGCCGAGTATTTTCTCACGGCTCGCTTAAACTTTATAAGCCACGTGTTTGCCATAGGGAATGAAATTTATCGATCCTTCATTATATCGATATTTGCAATTCATAAAAAAAGAAATCCTATTGAACGTGATCTAATTTGGGAATTTAGTCGGTGTGTGCTTGGTAGATCGTCCGGTAAAAAATACAATTATGAGCAAATGACGGAAGAAATGGCCCCACTGTCGTAAAAATTATGCGTGTAACGGATTTCTCATGGTCATCTCAAAATTTTTTTAAAAAAGGCCTTAATTCTGGCTTAATTAAATTTTTCATAAAATCTTATACACTGGAGCTTCTATCGTACAATTTTATAATTTATTCAACGAGTCAAAGATTGTAATGTTAATAATAATAATTAATTAGTGTTTTGAGCTTTTAGCGTGTGATTATTAATTGTTAAATAGTTAGTCGACGAAGCCACTAAATTAAAATAAAGTAATACAAACGGTGACGTAATAATAATGACGTCATGCTTACGTTACCACTCATTTTTCATTTATTATGCAAATTTATCGACTCGTATGAGCGATACATTTACAGATAGTCATAGACTATTAAGTATCTTTAGAGTAATACACTGGAGAGTGAAAGAGGAGACGATTAATATCGAGCAGTGCTGGACTGCTTGGGCACAAATCTCTCAGCAAAGCTTTTTCTTATCGCAAAAATTTATCGAAGAGCTGACAAGATCAAATAGTACGGCTGATAATGCTACGACAAAAGTAAAATACAAACAATACAAAACAACAATGAAAAATTGTTTTATCACAATAGCTCTTGAAGAGTCCATTATAACTTTGATGATAGTTAACAGATTTCTGGCTAAGGTACCTCAGCTTTCGAGAAGAAAGGAATTCCACGGATTATCATTATTTTAAAATAATTCGCTCAGCGAGTCATTATAAATTCGCAATACGGAAGGTAGAAAGCTACATTTTTCTCTCAACACTCCAAACTTAAAACTTTTGCGTCTCTAACAAGAGACCCGATCCGATTAAAAAGAACATCAAAGTCGGGCTTCAGTCGACGACTGCCGTCTGCTACTAATTACTAAGGCGTGTCAGCGAGTACCCGAGAATGCATTTCACTCAAAAACAATAAAGGGGCAAAAGTACGTGCTTGTTGTGCCTCGACATGGAACTTTCACCTGAGATAGTTTAACGTGTGCATTATATCAAACATCGCGACGGTCCTGTGATCGTTGACGTCCTCAAAGGCCCATCATAACCGGGCAGGATCGATGACTTCAACAGTGTCTTTACACTTTAGACGTAATCTGCTGTGCTATCCGCGGCGTCTTTCGTTTCAACTTTTTCTACTCGTAGCACTCGAGGTATTATAATCGAGACGTACGACGTTCATCGTCGACAGTCGGCGCTAATTGTCGAGGATCTAGATTTATTCATCTACTCAAGTCCTATCGTCAAATTGTCAATGATAAATAACATTATCGTACTCGAGTACGTGGAGCGATCCTTGCAAACTTGCCACGACACTACGACAAATAAAGAGCACCATATTTAAATAATCAATGAATATTTAGAATTAATTCTTGAATAAGTGCCGGAGGACGCGAAAAATTAATTCTTAATTTTCTAATGATATGGCATTATTGGTGAAATCGACGGATCAATAGCATAGTCCCAATAAAACACAGAAGTTTTAATTTCTATTATTTATTACTTAAATCCAGAAAATAACATTGATACATTGATACATGCATATATACATCATAAAAATCGATAACATTGGCCTTATTTATTTTGAAAATACCACATATTATGTCTTATGTAAAGGGTGTTCGACTTAAAAGTACATTTCATCATCATCACCTTTGCATACAGCCATTTATGTATATATATAATTTGCATCAAAATTAAATAGCGAATAGTTCCATTTATAGCTTTCATCTTTTTCTAAGCTTCATAAATACCGAGTAAAGGTAAATAGGGAATTCCATCTATGTTTAAAAAAGAAATTAAACGATAATGATAAATAATTTTATTTTATTAAAGGCCCGTTTCTCTTTAGTTATGTCTTTCTCGGTTTTTCATCCAAAAAGGCAAAGCGTCCTCTTCGACCTCTTCGAGGAATCGAGTTCATACCTATTTGAACGAATGCGCATGATTATACATACGTGAAGCTGTGCATCTTACCTATATTACGTCGGCCTACAAAGTTCCAAAATGATTAGCATCAGAGTAACATGAAGCGCATTTACATATCCTGTAAACGAGGAAGTGCACAGAATGGGTTGTGGTGGGATAAAATTAATTCTCTCGTTATACGAGGGAAAGCTCTTCCTTGTGTTTGTTTCGAGCCATGTAACCGTAAACGTCTACAATACTATTCAATGATATTCGAGCTTTTGATATGGAGCTTTTTATGATAATCTATGAATTAATAATAAGTCCAGGATACGATGGTTTCCTACTGCGAAACAATGTTGTGCGCCAAAGTAGAAGAATTACAATTACGGCTTTGCACACTTATAATTCGTCGATATAGCAGTAATACACTATGTAAGCTCCGTATTATATGCCAAGGCGCAAACAGCGAAGATATAACGTTCTGTCCCCTTAAGTAATTCTCAAAGTTCACAGCTTAACGCTTAAGTACGTTCCTGTTAAAAGCGAGCTCTCAGAAAATTGAGGCGCAAAGTGCGTTTTTAATGTTTTTAGCTTGCGCTGCTTTTACGATAATTCCTCCATATCCAATTAAATTTTTAGTACGTGAAATACGGTATCTTGTAAGAAAATATTTTCAAGCTCTCCAAGCCAATGCACGCGCAAGCATAAATAAAGCATTCAAAATGCAGTGAGGGAAGCTAGTACGGAC